AACTCTCACACACAGCTATGCAGCTGTGAACCTCAAGAACATTTCAAGCTTTCAATCTGCAACCTGGAAGGGTTAGTCGCTTCCAGTAAAACTGTGGATTTATTTTTGTTTCATACCACTTCAAATTCAGTGTTATTTACAAATTAACACTGACTAAAGGACCGTTATATTGTAAAGTAACAACCTTACAACATTAGAGAGGGAACCCCAATGATCAGACATGCAATAATCAGGTGATGGTGGGAATGGTAGAACTGGTATGTACCCTGCACTGGTATGGTGAAATGATGATCTATTGGTATAATATAGCACTATATTATATCTATTAGGGGTGCAACGATACACAAAATTCACGGTTCGGTTCGGTTCGATACTTTGGTGTCACGGTTCGATATTTTTTCGATACAAAAAAATGTTCATGCCTTTTTAATTTGTCATTTATTAAAATTATAAATATATATTTTAACTCAAAAGTACAGTTTTTAAATTTAATGTTGCTGAAACAACATAATAATAAAAATATATCTGATTGAGGAATCACTCATCTTTGGAAAAGAGAGTTTATTACAGAGAAATGGCTCTTTCCAAAATAAAAGCTATACTATATCGCTTCTTCTGGGCTATATTCTCAGCAGCATATTGTAGCGGGTCAGGGCTGTTCGGGGTTCTGTTTGTACAGTTATGTTTTGTTTATGTTGCCATAGTGACGAGTGACGCCCTCTCGCTGAGACGGTGTGTTCTTCCGGGGTCAGAGGGCGCCCTGTGTGTTGTTGTTGTTGCTGTGCGGTTGCCGCGCTGAGCAGTTAGCTAGCGGCAGTGTTCTTCTGCAGATGTCAATAAACGGCTGTGCTCCCTGGCTAGCTCACGGGAAGCAAGACCAAACGACACCTCCGTCTCCTCGTTGTCTGAGCTCGCCACATTGGTGTCAGAAGTGGGATGATGGTGGCACCCCATGTTCTGACCCGAGTGACTTTTCCCCCGCCGGTCGTGACCGGCCGGTGCGCCAAAAGAAGGCACCTGGACATTTGCAAAGTGAAAGCAAAAAACAAGCGCAAATTCAAACGCGATTTCAATATGTCACATATTGACAGTGGCTCACCGATGCCAATGACATAATTACCCAGCTACATTTCCGAAAGAATGCAAAAGCATTGACATATATTTTTCCTTCCTACAATAGCCCGACGGGCAGGGCAGAGATAGATTTTGGTAGCCCGACTGGAAAAATCGCTAGCCCCGGGACGTCGGGCTAGCGATTTTGCAAGCCCTGTGTTACAGGCATGGCCCTTTAAGGATGAAGCCTGATGGGAAATGTATTCGGGATGTGTGTAGCGGGACTGCCTGGTGTGTGTGTGAAGAGAGAGAGCGGAGAAGGGGAAAAAGTAACGGTTAGCTACAGAAGAGACGAAAAGAAAATAAATAAAAGGAATATAATAACTCCCTCGACAGCCAGAGTTGTGTCGGCGATGCTCGCTGTGAGTAAACTGTTTCAGCCCACTGTACGCGGTGTTCGTGCCTTAGAGAAGAAATAAAGTTCGGTGAAGCAGTTTCCTACGCCTCCTTCGATCTTTTTGCTAGCGGAGTTGACCTGTATAGTAAGCTGTTGCCGGCTACGAGTCAGTTACGGAACCTTCAAGTAACTGCCAGAGGTTTCCTTACTACGGTTCGGGGCCGCGGATCTGGCGCGGTAACACCTGTATCTGATTGAGGAATCACTCATCTTTGGAAAAGAGAGTTTATTACAGAGAAATGGCTCTTTCCAAAATAAAAGCTATACTATCCGCTTCTTCTGGGCTATATTCTCAGCAGCATATTGTAGCGGGTCAGGGCTGTTCGGGGTTCTGTTTGTACAGTTATGTTTTGTTTATGTTGCCATAGTGACGGGTGACGCCCTCTCGCTGCGACGGTGTGTCCTTCCGGGGTCAGAGGGCGCCCTGTGTGTTGTTGTTGTTGTTGCTGTGCGGTTGCCGCGCTGAGCAGTTAGCTAGCGGCAGTGTTCTTCTGCAGATGTCAATAAACGGCTGTGCTCCCTGGCTAGCTCACGGGAAGCAAGACCAAACGACACCTCCGTCTCCTCTTGTCTGAGCTCGCCACATTGGTGTCAGAAGTGGGATGATGGTGGCACCCCATGTTCTGACCCGAGTGACTTTTCCCCCGCCGGTCGTGACCGGCCGGTGCGCCAAAAGAAGGCACCTGGACATTTGCAGGACTTTGTGTGGGGTAATGGGGTAGTCGGGGACGACTGACCCCTTAGGTGGGGGCTATGTAGCGGGTCAGGGCTGTTCGGGGTTCTGTTTGTACAGTTATGTTTTGTTTATGTTGCCATAGTGACGGGTGACGCCCTCTCGCTGCGACGGTGTGTCCTTCCGGGGTCAGAGGGCGCCCTGTGTGTTGTTGTTGCTGTGCGGTTGCCGCGCTGAGCAGTTAGCTAGCGGCAGTGTTCTTCTGCAGATGTCAATAAACGGCTGTGCTCCCTGGCTAGCTCACGGGAAGCAAGACCAAACGACACCTCCGTCTCCTCCTTGTCTGAGCTCGCCACAATATTAAACATATCAGGTCCCCATAAGGAGAATCATGTGCTAACGGCTGTCTAAATGACTCGGGTAAAGTTTGTAGCATGCGTGCTTGTTGTTTTTGTCTGCTTCCACTTGTCTTTGCACTAGGATGATGTCGGCGTAAATGTGCAGTCATATTCGTTGTGTTCCCACTAGTGCTGTCAGCGTTAATCTCGTTTAAATGACGTTAACGCCACAACACGGCAAATCTCCGTTAAGGAGCTACCCCTGCATGGGGTACTCCAGTCACCTCCACAGGCACTAGACGCTCTATCCAATATCTTTGGGAGGTGATGAAGCGCAAGATGTGAATCATGGCTTACATGCATAACAGCTGACAAATCTGCAGCAACTGTGTGATGCTGTCATGTCAACATGAACAGAAATCTCAGATGAATGTTTCCAGCACTTTAGTCTTTGTCTCAGAGGCCGTTCTGAATGGAAAAGGAGGTCAAACGCGGTCCTGGCAAAGTGTGTCTAATAAAGTGGCCAGTAAGCGTATATTCAAACACATAAAAGGGACAGCTGTTCGTGTCACACTCAGGCAGACTACGTGGCTTTGCTTCTGAATGTAAAAAGTCATTCCCTTGGTTTTCCAGGTTTTCCTTCTTTGGTTTAAAATACTACATCGTTAATGTCCGTGCTTCAACCTCATTGGCTAAAGCAGCGACTCGAATGCGCGTCATTGATCCGCGTGCAGACTGTGATTGGCTGCGGAGATGGGGGCTGGAGCTAGTTAAAGCTAAGGCTGGAAAAATAGGTGGAACCCAGAAAGGAAGTGGACCTTCAAAATAAAATAATGAAAAACGAATGATATCCAGACTAACGATACCTAGAGGATTATAGGCTTTCTTGTTAATAAAGCACATCTAAGCCTACATTGTGGGGGTTTTTTAAAATGCAGAGTACCTTGTCATTTTTCCGCCACCAATCAGTTTTGTTTGAAATTCATTAGCTGCAACAAAAAAAGCAGCTTTAGATGTATTTTGCATTAGGTTTCTCAGAATGTAGTAAGCCATTTTTACCTGGATCTTTAATCCTATTTGCTAAAAGTCTGGCTTCTTTTATCAGTAGTAAACTAATACATATTACGCTATGTAAGCCAGCAATGGACATTTGCAAGCATGCTGTCAATGCTGTTTCTTTTTTTGTCCACACAAGCTAATCATGTGCTTTAACAATCATCTTGTATTTTGAATTTTCATATAATGGTTCATTGGTGGGTACAGTAAATGGAACACTGAGTATCAGTCAGTGGAGCCACAAACATTTCAGCCTGTAGATATGCGTCTTTTCCTCTTCCAAATCGTCCATTTGACAAATACCATATAGGGAGTGCTATTTAACCAGTTTTAACTTGCAAGCTCCGTTGCAGCTCACCTCCACCTCACCTTCTACTTAACACTCTTTTTTGTTTGTTTGTTTTTTTAGTTAATAGGTAAAGGGGCGATGTGGCTGATTATTTTTCTTGGTCTTTCTAGGTTGAAGTGGAGCAATATTTTTGTTGTCACCAAATACATATTCCACATAAAGATGACAACTTACAGTAGCACCTATTTGATGTCACTATTCAATTTTTCTGCAGAGACCATGAATTGCATTCAGTGATTTATTGCTTTTTGTAGTGTACGTGTTGTAAACAGGGATTTCTGTAATATTTTGCATGAAAGCTCCAGTTTGGTTAAGATTAGAGAGAGATTATCCTAGGAAGAGTAGGAAATGATACAGGTGGGGTGCATGGTCAGGGCATAATGAAGTTTTTTTTCTCTGTTAGCCTGACAATAGACAAGACCCAAACTTGTGGCAAAAACAAGTACAACAACACAGAGAGCCTCATTCTGACACTGTTGTGTCTCCCTTCCCAATTTAATGGCAAATGCAAGAGGCGATTCAAAGGATAAAACATGGACTAATATAAGATTCCACAAGACCCAAACTTGTGGCAAAAACAAGTACAAGTTTAGATGCTACAGCTGTTTAAATAAAGTGTAAGAAGTGGCCTGGGCCGGATTATCCAGTAGGCATGTCCAGGGGCCCATGCGCAGTTGGTTCATCCAGGAGTCATTCATTTTTCCTGCCTCTTTCTCACCTACACTGCTGAGGCTAGTGTGGGCTGAGTACTTCCAGTACTTTGCCAGAAAATTGGCATTTTTTTTATTCAACAAATTTAGGATGAAAACACTGCAGTTAGTTTTTGAGACGTTCAGATGTTCAAGCTAAGTGGGAGGTAAAACATAGTAGCAGCAGCTCACTATCACAGTGGATTTATATCACAAGACTTTGAAGGTGCCAAAAGCTGCCCTCCCTAGAGGACGACCTGCTGCAGCTCCCAGCAGAAGAAGCGAGTGAAGGTGTGTTGTGAGGGTTACTTTTTTCAGTAGGATACAGTCAGTACTCTTCATCCTGTGTACACATTCCTTTATGTGTCTGATGAGAGAGGGGGGGATTGTAGAAACTAGCTGGCTGGGGTTCACCGAAAGATTTGTGGCCGGGGACACGTGTAACCTGGTGACATGGTTGTGAAGGTACCAGCTTGGTTGCAGATCTGAAAACGAAGAGCACAGCTGGTGGGCTTTTATTTTGTAGGAACTGAGGGGAAACAGCGTTGTATGTTGGTTGACTTGCGGGGGGTGGACAGAGCAGCAAGCCGTTTGAAATCCCCTCTAGCGGAGCAGAGGGCGAGAGGGTCTATTCCTGCAGTCCAGCTCAAACATGGCGGGCTGTGGAGGAGACGTGATGTGCTCGTGGTCCGGACCTAAGACCCACGGCACATCCTCAACCCCGGCGTCCGAAGAGGGGGAGCTGAGGAAGAGAAGGAGAGCTTTCTGCCTGACCAGGATGAAGTCCCGTAACAGCTCCGAGAAGCATCAGCATCATCATGAGCCCGCGAACAACAACAACAACACGCCGTTCATGATCCACTGCAAGGAGATCAAACACATCTGCAGCAACTGCCGAGGAGCCGAGCCGCTGGACGGTGAGACGCTTCAGGTTGCTTTGAGAGCAGGAGGAGGAGGAGGAGGAGGAGGCGTACTCCTGCTTTTTAAATGATTGTGCTCATCGCTCCCTGCTCCTGTGGGGGTCGGGGTCAGCGCTCAGATCAGATCCCTGTATTGAATCTGTTTTACTTTACAGTGAGGTTAACATTGAAAGCCTCTGCTGAGTCTTCTTCGCTGTCACGGGGCTGTGGTGTGGCTGGATCTTCACTGTAAGCGCATGATTTCAAGTCCAGTTTTTGTTTTGCTTCCCTGTTTGCATCGTGAAAGCAGAAGTTCAGGGCATTCCACGCACGGATCGCTATAGTTTCAGTTAATATAGAGAGCTGGGAAATTTTCTGGTTTTGTCTTACTGGATTCCACAAACCAAACATCATCGTATGGTTTAGTCTTTTCCCTTATTAACTGCTATAACTGTCACTTCAAGTTCAGACTGTCGGTGGATTATTATCTGCACTGATGCTGATGAATTTTCTGTCAATACAGAAATCAATTTATGGAGCCATCACTGCAGCAGTTCATCTCAAACACACACAACGTCAATAGTTGCTCTGGCTTAAATAACAGAGATCAATAGCTAATCATAGAATCTGTTCATTTAATCAGCTTGTGGTTTTATTTGAAAACCTTAGCGTGTGGATCAGTGGAGGCTTTGTTCTTTAATAAAAGTCAGCCACTTGATTTAAATTGCTTAATCAGCCACCAGGGATTTAGTGAGCAGCCCTTTCAAAACCTGGTTTTACTGGCACGATTTGTTTGAGAAGAGATAACCAGAACTCGTTTGGAGTTTTCTTGACAGAGGATCTTCAACAGATGATCAAAAACGTCATTTTTCAGTAAACTCAGTAATGAAGAAACTGGTTTACAGTGACAGTAACATTTCCTGTTCATTTATTGTTTACTTGAAGATGTTTCAGACTGTTGGCGTTCTTGTTTTTCCCCACAAATCAACACAAGTCAAGTCAATTGATGCAACAGCTGGTGCCAGCATAGACTGTATAAAAAGATGACAGTGGCTACTGCTGGTCAGTGAATTTCATGCCTTGTGATTAACAAGCCGTTAGTTTCAAAAACATTTGCTCATTGGCTAAGTTAGTGATGGTGAAAATGTTAATGCCATCCACTGTCAAGAAACCAGTGGATGGCATCACAACAGCTACTCACATCTTTTATATGGTCTGTGGGACTGACACTCTTTTGGAGACAGCCTCAAGTGGCCATCAGAGGAACTGCAGTTTGGGGGGGGGTGGCGAGGCTTATTTTGCTTGATGCCCAGTAACAAGGCCATTTAAAAAAAAAAAGAGAGAGAAACTAAAACTATGAATCAGCTAAGAAATTCAGTCGTAACACAGGCCTTCCAGCATCGTTGTTTTGGATGAACCGAGTTGTTTTCGAGCTTGTTGTTCAGTGAGTCAGTGTTTTGAGGCATCAGTGAGATAACAGACCCCAGGTCAGACTGAAAGAATGTCTCCCTGCAGTGTGAGTCTGAGCCCTCTGACTCACTGCTGCTCTCGCTCCACTGCTTGTGGCGAGGGGGGGTTGGACTACACCAGGAGGGAGAAGACACCTTTTGTGTAAGGAGACAAAAGATGAGACAAACACAGTATGTCATCACCTCAAAATCTGCATAGTTTTGGGGGTTTTTTTGCAGTCGAATGATGTCACTGTTGTCCTGGAAACACTAATTTTACTGCTTTAGGTGCTGGAGACGCTTCATTGAGAGAGCCTTTGTGCAACGGAGGTTTCCGTGAGCTCTGACGTTCACACAGGGATGCTACACAGACTCAGAGTGTCTACTGAAGGGTTAGGGAGGGGAGGATGAGGGGGGGGGGCTGACTGGATGTTTGTTGAAGGAACTCTCAATGGCAGGTACAGTGTTGGTGCAGATTTGAACTGACATCTCTCTTCCAACAAGGCCTCCCGAAGGATGTCATCGCCTCTCGTCTGCAGCTGCCTACCAGTTTACACATGGCTGGTTTGTCCATCAACTGCTGATAATGTTTCAAATAGAGGAGAAATCACTGGCAAAAACACAGCTTCAAAGATTTTGACTGAAAGGTAGACTGATGGTCAAGTCGTACTGTATTTTTGTAATAGAGCTGAAGGCAGTGATAATATACAAGTTTTTTATCCATCCATCATCCATTGTCTCCTGCTTATCAGGGTCCACATCACAGGGACAGCAATCTAAACACACATGTCCAAACATCTCTCTCCTTAGCCACCTCATTCTGGGGAGCAGTCAGGCTTTCCCAGGCCAGCTGACAGATGTAATCTCTCCTCAGTCTGCCTCCATTTGGCCATGCCTGAAACACCTCACCTAGGAGGCGTCCAGAACCTCCACATCTGTCTGCTTTTGATGTGGAAAACAAGCATCTTTGACTCTGAGCCGCACTTGGATTTCTTCTTCACGATCTGGATATGAAATATTTACATGATTTTGCAAAACATTCCTATGTTTTACTGCCAGATTTTCCCTGTCATTCCTCAATTACTTGTACAACATTCCCAGTTGAATTAAGTTTACTTCACCCAAATTCGAAACATTCCATGTGTTTGGATTCATTTCCATCTTTCCATTCATCTGTCTGACAAGTATCTGTTTGCACTGCATGCTTCTGTCGGCCAGTGTTTGTGTGCAGGTTTACATCCTCTGCTGCCTGCTGAAATGTTGCCTTCCTCCTTCCCCCCCTCTATTGCTGCTGGCTCTGCCCTTGTTTTGTAGAGGATGGTGTGTGTGTGTGTGTGTGTGTGTGTGTGTGTGTGTGTGTGTGTGTGTGTGTGTGTGTGTGTGTGATGGGAAAGGTGTAATTTCAAATGGAAAATCGGAGCATGCTGTATAGAGTGGCCTCCAGCATGATTACTTTGAGGAAAGTCCCTGTGGGGTGGGGGGAATTGTAGCTCAGAGGAAGAGGGTTAATGGAAAACATGGGAAAGGGAAGGCTCACAGTTGAAGAGGTTATAATTCTATCAGATTTTCACCACTGAACCCCCCCTTTTGGTCTGTGTTGTAGCTGGCTAACTCCTCTCTGTCCAAGTTTTTCTCTCCTTGTTACATAAGGTTTCTGCTGCTGTGGCCACCTGACACATTAGCTGTGATTGAAAGCGATCCAAATAAGCTTTACCTGACTTGATTATGCAAAACCCCCCTGGCAGAAAATGTCCTCTGACATTTGAAGCAGAGAGCAGCGATCATCTGTTCTACTTAACTGTGGGTTAAAAGGGGCCCATTATCAGTTAATAAGCTATAGAATAATAGCTCATTTACTTTGCGCCCACCTGGCTGAGGCTTTAATAAAATGGTCATTAATCAGATCATTATCCAGAATGATTTCTTGAAAAAAAAAAATTTGGGTCATTACCCGAAGTTCTTCCTTTTATGGCGATGTTTATCTGAGAAAAGGCATCAGGTTTTCAAATTTGTGCTACACTCTTCCTAAAAAAGAACTCAGACTATATCAGTCACCCAGATGCCAACTGTCAGTCGTCATAACGCCAAATATCCGAACAAATACGTTGTTGTGCTAAGCATTGGAATAAAAAGCGCATAATTAAGTGAGTCAAAACCACAAAAACAATGTTTTTATGCATTTTGTTTATCTGTTTGTTAATGTTGTCTTTTCAGCTGAGGAAGTGGAGAGGTTGGCAGCGATGCGCTCTGATTCGCTGGTACCGGGTACGCACACGCCCCCCATCCGGCGGCGGAGCAAATTCGCCACCCTGGGTCGTCTGTTCAAACCCTGGAAGTGGAGGAAGAAGAAGAGTGAGAAGTTTAAGCAGACGTCTGCAGGTGAGAACCAAAACTCTGTAAACAGCACATCTGCAGGTCGGCAGCCAGCTCTGCGCCTTTCTGTCCTCTCTGCCTCACTCCCATCTCTGACACCTAGCAACAGCCTTGAGAGACGCTGTCCTTTAAAATGTCAGCATCAAAAGTCTACTGTGCATGGTTGTGTCTGGCTATGCACAGGGAGATTTCATGAGTCCAGTCATTATAGTCTGATACGTCATATAAGCAAAGAATGGCTGTATGTAGATATTAAGCAGGAACAAGTAATATCAACCTTCATTTGTCCACTGAATTCAATTTTGGAAGTATACATAATGCGAATGCAAAGGTTTGTAGCTGGATTGGAATCCTGGACATTTCCATTAGACCATGAATGCAGCATCTTTATTTAGCTCTAAAATCCAAGTGAAGAATAATTAATTTTCAAATTGATACCATAGGTGCATCCACTAAAACTCTGGAGTTTGAAGTTCAGTGACCTTGACCTCAAGTCAGAGGTCAAGTTTATTGAAAATCTTGTGAATGTGATAACTCACGAAGGAAGTCACCTAGGATGTTCAAACTTATAGCTTAGGTCCTTCTACTGGGAAGCTGAGGGGCAGCACTGATGGCCTCCAGTATTTTTAAGTCATGATGATGATTTCATTTATAAAGGGAGAAAAAGTTATCCAAACCTACCTGGCCCTATGAATTAATTATTCTCATGAATTAACTGTAATTAACCACAGTTAAAGGTGAATTTAATTTCACCCCCAGTCCTGATTGCTGCCAGACCTTTGTGATACTTGCCATATATTTGAGCTTGGTCAGTGCATCTCTGACCACATTATACATGTTTTTATCGATACATTTTTCAGTAGACCTTAGAAAAGAGTTCTTGAAAATTAAACATCCTCACAGCTGTGATGGAGCTCACTGGACCTGTGACTACCTGTGACATGGATGGGCTGACCTGTGTGACAGCCCATCCATGTCAAGAAAAGTGCAAAACTCCATTTGCTGTTAGATCCTCATTAGTGGCATCACTGTCAGTCATTAATGAGGCTGCTCTCTCACATGTGTATCCACTCAATAGAGGATCCTGCTGCTTTCTGATTCTGCAGGTATGTAATAAACTCAGAAGAAAGACTTCTGCTAACAGCTGGAAGCAAGAAGGTAAACGTCACCTCCCACTTGTTTAGTCAAATTCGTGAGCTGTTACAGGCTCAGTCTTCGTCATAAAGACTTTTCTACAGATAAAGAATAGTCAGCACAGCGGAAACATAGTAACTGATTTGTATTCTTTCAGTTTTGGTGCCCTTGTATATTTGGGATCCAGCCTCATAAATCAGAATGACTGAATTTGTGCTTTTTCTCAGGTGGTGTGATGAAATGCATAAATGCAATAAACATTGGGATCAGCCAAACTGCTATTCCAGACATCAGTGTATTCGTGTTCTTACACAATGAACTTATACTTGACTTTTTTTAAATGCTGTTGCTGAAAGCTGTTAATTCCACTGCTGTTCAGAGATGCCAACACAGCAGCTGTGGAAGAATTGATCATTAATGTTGGCCGTAGCAACAAGTGAGCTTCAAATGGAGTTTGCCAGCCGACGTGTTGTCTCTTTAACAGTGAATTAACACTTCATTCAAAGCAGTGAGCAAATTTGAAAGTAGTTTCATATGTCTGGCTCGGGGCTACAATATTCAGCGAGTACTAAGCTGTGAAGCGAAGGAAAGTGTTGGATTTGGATGCCGAAATAGCCGCTGTTGTTGTTGTTGTTTCTCAGCTGGCTGAATCATTTTACATCCTGTTCTCACTGAGCGACGCAAACACGCAGCAGAGGGGTGAAGAGAGGCTTCCTGCAGCCAAGCTGTTCCCCCAGCTGTCACAGCAGTTACACATTTTTTTTTACCCTGCTGAAAACCTTCCTCCCTTCTCTGCACCCAGATAATGAACAGTATACGTTTTATAGCATGTGTACGTGCGCACAGGTGCTACACGTTGCGTGTACCGTGTGCTTTTGCTGCACCCTGCTGTCATGCAGTCAAGGTGCATTGGATTATCCAGATTTTCGTGCTTCAAGTAAAAATATAGCTGTGGGGTTGAATAGGGTTTACTGTAGGAAACACAGACAGTTATGGCTACAATACATTGACACTGGGGCAACATATACGGAACCAGTTTTACATTGTATCCCTGGGCACTTTTTCTCCACTTTCTTTAGCTGAATCTATGAAACATATCAAAGATCACACAAAGTTTGACAGACATAAAATAGTATTATTGCATCAACAAGGTGATTCTCAAAGAAATGTTGGAATGGAGAGCATTTGTTTTACAACAGCTTCATTTTCAGCATGACAGCGAACCCAAACACACTGCCAATCCAGTAAAAGCATACCTGTATGGAACTGTCAGTCATGGATTGGCCTCCCCACAGCCTGGACTCAAACAACGTGGGAACAGAAACGGAACAGAAGGGGGGGCAACATCCAAAGAAGAGCTTTGAATGTCCTTTAAAAAGCCTGAAGAACTATTCTTGAAGACTACTCGAGGCTTTTTCCCATAAAGACAACATTAGACCAGCACCTCTGTACCCTTAACAATGAGTGTTGACACCTCAGTGTATACATAAATAAAGATGTGGTTTGACGACCATTAGAATTGTTTTGGGGGGGTTTTCATGGGTAGCTGAATAGGCAGAGACCACGCTCGCTAACTTCTAATGAAAACCCAGTGATTTTGTGATATACAGCCTGAAATATGACAGAAAACACTCAGAAAATAGCTTCACGGGTTACTCCTAGAAGAGAAGTCACTAGAAAGCTGCCCTAAGAGAGTTCAGCTTTTGTTGAAGAATAAAGGTGGTTTTACCAAATACTGACATTCAAGGTCGTTACAATTTTACAAACTCAGTTTTTGCCTTAAATACTGTATTTTCATGTGTGTTTGTGCGCGTTTTAATAAATTGTTGCTTCTCTTTTCCACGGGGTAGTTGAAGACTTTTGCTCCATAAAGGCTATATAAGACAAAATGCATCAGTTAGACAATAATCCTGCATTACTATGTGTGTGGGTGATGTGTAGATATCAGTTTACCAAACTGAGCTGTTAGAAAGCAACACAGAAAAACGCATTACAAACGCCATTAAATGACTTCATTAGATATAGTGTATGTCAGGGTTTAAAAAAAAAAAAGACTTGTAGTATTGTAACATTGCTTTTATTAACTCCCCCACCCTAACACTTTACTGATATTGTCTCAAACCCTACCAATCAAAATGGCATTGGAAAAGATACGTTTTCACAGCTCATGCTGGATATGCTAGAAAATGAAAAAGTGTTATTTACGGGAAATGTTTAGGAGTGAGGAGGCGAGTAGGCATCTCTGTCAGAGGATCAGTGAACTGGTAGTGTTGTGTTTGTGCGCACAGCTCAGAGGGTCAGTCACATGATATTTCCTTGGCACACAGCAGCAGTGCTGGAAGCAGCAGCAAGTCCAAAGAAACAGCTGCTGCAGCTGACTCGTTCCTCGATCCTGATAACTCTGTTAGCATCCAGCGCAGCAGCTTTCTTCCTGTTCTAGTCGTTTCTGACGTCTCCTCCTCTGTGCTCCCTCAGTGTTGGAGAGGAAGATGTCCACTCGCCAGAGCAGAGAGGAGCTCATCAAGAAGGGACTCCTAAAGGAGGTCTATGAGAAAGGTGAGGCGCCACACAGCGAAGGTGAGAAAGAAAGTGGCCAGTGTTGTAGTATTAGTTGTTCTCTTTGTTTGCAGCCTGATTTTGATTTTAGATTCAAATTCAAATGTAAAGTAAGATTTTTCCAGTTGCAGCTTCTCAGTTGTGATTCATGCCTTTTCTCTTGCACTTTGATTGGTTTGAGTCTCTCACATTGTTCTGTCATCAGTGGGGTGGTGCTGTTTAAGTGCTGCAGCGCACCAAAGACTCACGCAAGCTTGTGCACAGTTGTAACTCATTTTTTAAGTGTCAGTAAATCCAGTGACAAGTTTACTTACAGCACACCAGTCAGCTTTATCATGACAAGACTGAGCTTAGGAATATGTGTGCCTGTCTGATCCTTACCACCATTCCCTCACATCCAGCTGCTCTACCTGGGTGTTTCTCCCTATCTATCTTTGAAAACTACACTGTTACGTGATTCATATTTTCTCTAAGCAAAATTTGAAAAAAATGCTACATAAGGAGATCCTTTGCTCTGTTTTTTCATTTTTTACCTACTTTTGAACACCAATGTGCATCTTTCTGTGCAGATGGTGCATCGCTGACCATCCGGGAGGAGGTGAAGATAGAGAATGGTCGTTCCTCGGTGCTTGGCTCCAGCCTGTCGGAGTCTGAAGGTAGTGAGCTGATGGAGGGAGCAGCAGGAGCAGCTGTAGGTAGGCAGCACAGCCTCAGAACCACTGAAACCTCTTTAGGTATTTGATTCACAGTGGTCTCTGACTCCTTTGTTGTTTCCCCCAGGCTCCCTGGAGTTTCAAATGCCTAGTGATGCTCAACAGGACCACACCCAGAAATCCAGTCAGGCTCCGCCCACAAAGAAGTCTATCGTATATCAGGCTGATGGTGCTGAATCAACCCTCTGCAGACCTCCAACGCTACACAAACAACCTCCCGCTCTGCCACCCAAGCCTTTCAACAGGCTACCCAATCACATTACAGGTGAGTGTGTCTCCATGCGTGCTCACAACTGCATTAGTGCGCGTGTGCCTAATCCTCCCACGTCCACCTCCTCGTGCAGACGGCGCCCCCGTGAAGTTGCCATGCATGTCGGCTAAGTTGTCTCCTCCTCTACCTCCGAAGAAGCTCATGATCTCCGTACCTGCAGGGAGCATGGAGCCCTCTTCTATCGCCTTCCAGAAGTGCCCCGCCCCTCCCAGCCATGCTCCAATGGGTGCACACTCACTGCAGTACGGGACCCTGCCTGTTCCTCTCCACCCGCCCAGCCGAATCATAGAGGAGCTGAACAAAACCCTGGCCCTCACCATGCAGAGGTTTGAGAGGTGAGGATCACACCACAGAGGCCAGAAAGTCAAGAAAATATCAGAGAAAAGTCAAAAGGCTCATTAAATTGATCGTTTAGAACGAGCCTGTAACATAAAGAAGCTGGGACAATCATATTTTTGACTAAACAAAAAATTACAAAAATGATTAAAAAAAATATTGTTTGATTATATAGTAGTTTTACAAAACTGAGACAGGCCAATTGATTAATCAACCAGTCCCCTCTGTACTAAATCCAGCCCTGGGCAACTTTGCTAAGCACCAACCCCCGTGCCACAAAAAGTAGGGAAGAGTGTCGGCCCCCTTATTCCCAAAGCAGATGGCTCTGTATGTTGACTTGGCACCAAGTTGAAAGCTCGGATGCTACTCTGTTCTGAACATGGACAGCTGTCATTCCTTATATACTTCTTTAAAGTCCGCTTCCCGGGCACACAGGTAGTGTGTTGTAATGTAAAAACAGACAGGCAAGCTGATGTCCACACAGACCCTCGCTCACTGTCTGATGAAGAAATTTACATCACAGGGATCCAAGCAGATCCAACTGACCCAGAAGCCAGATGACCTCCCATTTATCCAGGCTAGGTTGTGATACTCTGAGACGTGTAAGGTGAATGTTTTAAGAGCTCATACAGTGACTATGATGATCTTTTGCTATAGAATCACGATCTGAGTTGGAATCCTTCACACCAACTCACAAAAGTCATCCACGGAAAGCACAACGCCATTTTAAGATTCACAAATGTGTAATTTATAGGGAAATATTCCTATTTTTTTGACAGTTGTCTAGGAAGAATATGGCTGCGCAGCACATACACAACCATAGGAGGTGTGTTTTTTGTTTTTTTTAGTAAGGCAGAGCTATCCGTTTTACAAAAACAAATTGAAACATTAAAAAATAATTATCTGAATCTTACAACCAAAGTTTTTATCTGATGTACAACGTATAGAAATCATACACATACCAACAAGACAGTGTACATCACTGTCACAACAGCGTTTGTTTTCATTCAAAGGCTTTATGGCTTTTCTTATAATACCTGGTGGGCCGGTCTGTAGTCAAAATGCCCGGGCCGATTTTTTCGTCCCAGTCCAGCCCTGGGCACGACACGCAGTGAATTAATCTGAGAGGGTGCATTAAAAAATAAATGGCCGGGCCAGCGGTGCACATCGCAAATTAGCTCGCATAGACACATTAGTTGTACCACTTCTTAATGACGGCATCTTAGCTAACAACCCCGACTACCAGATTCAACTTGTAATTGGCTAAAAATCACTTAGCCTACTGGTGAGAGGGACGTTGTTAGCTGTCAGTTTTTTCAAGCGATGTTGAAATTTCCACGTTCCGACACTTCAAATGCTTCAGGAGCTCTCCGCTCAGCACAGCAACTGTTAATATAGATCGTTATTAAATTTATTGCTAATGCAATTATATGGCACATTGACTTCTGAGGAAACTTTAGATGGCACTCGTCATCAAAAAGGTTGCCTACCCCTGGTCTAGAGGAATACATACAAAACAATAGAGAGGCACACATTGGAGAGCAAAGTGCTTGGAGGTAGTGCAAAGAAAAGACTTGCCTTTGCACTGTCTGTTTAAGTATCACTATTTAGTCTGTCTATTCACAGTCTGAATTAGAGTCGGTGTGTGAGTGGACTGAGTGATGAGGGTTACTCAGACCATGGCTCAGATCGGTGAGGTGGGTGGGCAGGGGTGGGGTGTTGGGGGAGAATGTTTTTTAACAGGTGCCTCAGGTCAATGAGGTGTGTGACCTGATTGACCTGAGGCACTGACCAGAGGGCCACTGGTCAAACAGGTGGTGAGCAGGGTCCACGGGGTCACCTGTGATCCCATCCCAAGAGACCATCACCCGATCTTCCAGGGGCAGGAGGGAAGGATCAGATGATGGGGGAGGGACAGGGCAGCCAATAATTTTTTTGGGCAGTGTTAATTAACCTCTGCGCAGCCTTTCTGTTCTCAGTAGTGGCTCCTGCGTTCCAAAAATCCAGAGCGCGCCCTCCACTCAGGAGTGGAGGAAGACCAGCATCAGCCTCAGGTTATTCTTTCTCAGATTCCACCCATTCTCCTTTTATAATAAGAGGGGAGTGGACCGGTCTGTGCTTCCTGAAGCCCATTAGGAGTTCTTTTGTTTTAAGGATGTTCAGCTTCAGGTTCTTTTCTGAGCACCAGTGGACAGGTTTTCTACCTCCACCCTGTACGCCGTCTCATCTATATCAGAGATGAGCCCAACCATCGTGCAGGTTCCAATAGGGGATCTGAAGGTGGTCCAGTTTGGGGATGAAGATGTCTGTCATTATGGTGTTGAATGCTGAGCTGTAGTGCATCTTTGCGAAGCTCTTCCTGTTCTCCAGATGGCTCAGCGCTCTGTGAAGGGTGATGGTGATGACATCCTATGTGGATTTGCTCTGTAAGCAAACTGGTGGGGGTCAAAGCAGGGGGTAGCAGTCTCTGATGTGCTGAGACACTATCTGCTCTAAGTACTTCAGGACTACAGAGGGCTACAGGTCTGTAGTCATTGAGGCTGTCTATGCCATAATGGTAGAGGCCTTCAGACATAACCATAACCCTCACTTCACACAGCAGTGAACGTGTATGTGTGAATATGTTTGTGTGACACGTTTACCATTTCATTCTGAAACTGCAGCTCCATGATGCACGCCGTTCCCACGGTGATGATCGAATGCGACGATGACAAAGAGAACCTCCCTAACGAGGCAGACTACGAGGACCTGCCGGGCATGTACAAGGATGAGGAAGAGGAGGAAGAGGAAGACGAGGAGGAAGATGAGGAGGAGGACGAAGACGAAGAAGAGGATGAGGATGATACACTGTTTACAAGTAAGCATCTTTTTGTCTTTATTAAAATTTGGCTTACACCCACCATGGTCTTCAAGGTTACATTGAAACCCTGAAAAACAATAAAGAGGACAGAGACGTGTACATTAATGAGAATTACAAAAATATTTACTGCAGAAGAAGATCTATACTGTGTGCCTCTTACTGGGAGGCTGCGACAGCCTCAATCTGCTTAACTTTGATACGATTTCCTCTGCCAATATGTTCAATAAAGGCACACTGGCCATGAAGGTCTTACGAAAAGACTCTCTGGCCATCAAGCTGAGCAACCGTCCATCCAAAAGAGAGCTGGAGGAGAAGAACATCCTGCCACTGCATTCGGACCAGGAGCGGCTCGAATCCCGGCAACAGACGGCCACCAAACTGACGAGGTGAGCTTCCGACTTAAGAGCACACATGCTGATGTGGCACCGAGCCACTCGGAGGAGCGGTACACACGCCCACATCGCTCATCACATGCACATCGAGTCACCTGCAAAGTGTTTCAACCCATGCGAGCTGTGATAGAGGCGACCTGGCTGCTGCAAGGAGCAGATGATAGAAGAAGGGATGACGCAAAGCAGAGATGGAAAGATTAAAGCAGGGAGTGTAAAACGAAATAAAACGGAAAAAAGAGAATAGTGTCATGACTGTAAAGGTGAGTGCAGGCTACATTAGATGTGTACAGACACAAAATGTTGTCAAAATCATCACACAACATTTGAATCATTCTTACTGTGCCAAGTGGCAACTTAAGCCAGTGCAGAAATGCTAAAGGCTACAGTTCCATGAATGGCCACTTGAGGTCACATCTAGTCCTATTTTAAAGTGCCAAACTTTTAATGAGGTTTCTAATAAAAATGCCCACTGCTCAAGAGTTGTCCATCATATCACATCACACGTGACACAACCACCGTTTTTTGGGAAATGCGAGTATTCCCGGAGTCGTTAGTAGTGCTTCCTGTTTCTTCCGGTTGCAAAAACCTGTGAGAAAACTGAGTGATTACTTTGGTAGCTAGGAAATATCCAGGGTTGCCTGTAGTTCTTCTTGTTTTTTACCCTGTCCTGTACAACAGCTTTAGCTAGCAGAATCAGGTTGTGCCAAACACTTTGCTTTGCCAAGAGGAGCCCTGTAAATTTTTTAGAACGCTTTAGCTTGTCGCTGAAAACAATCCTATTTTACCAGTTTTCATTTCCAGTTTGTGTTTTCACAGCTCCACTGCGGCTCAAAGAGCAGCTTGTCAGTCTTTATAGACAAGTCCGTCACTTCCATTCAAACTATGACTGCAGCAATATGCTGGTGACCAAAGTAATCATAAAGAGGCTTTTGCCAGCCGGCTGGAGACTACACATTTTCCTCTAACGACAGGTGGTGGCCAGGGGCTCACTGATTGGTCTGTATGTCTGTGTTAGAAGTAATTTTCTCAGTAACTGACATCAACCTTCACCAACCAGTTGGGAACAAGCATTTTTCCTTCACAACCAGAGGTTGCCTCGCTAGCAAAACTAACCATGTTTACAGCCCATGTAGCTAATTTCAGTCGCAAAAAATAGTTCATCTTGGTTATATTTCTATCGCAATCCATGCTGTTGCAAAATTCTACTCTAATATTGTTTGATATCATAGTGGCAAGTCCACATTTTATATACAGAAATGTATGAAATGTACTAAAATTTATCTAAAATCTAAAGCACACACACAGTACTTAGCTACATCATTACTGCAGTAAATATCCATCTTCTATAACCACTCGCTGTAATATATGGCTGGGGGCATTACCCTACATATTCATTGTGCTCTTTGGTCCCACTTAATAGGTTTTTATAATATTAGGACAACTTGTAGTGTGCAGCTGCTTGTATTACTTAATGAACTCCACATCTTAACATTAGTTGGTATTGTTTTGTTAGCCGGCTCTGGAGGAATCATCTTTATCTTTATCTTCCTCTGGCTGATGTTTTGAGCCTCTCTGCACTGTCCACCTCTTTTTTTTTTTTTTTTTTTTTTTTAGTTAGTTAGTTAGTTTTTTTGGAGGGTTTTTGGCAACTTTTCTGCTTCTTATCCTCCTGTTCTCAGTCACTATCTGTCATCCTGCTATTCCAGTGCCTCTGAGTCAGTACCTACTCAATAAATTCACAAAATACTGCTTCATAAGAAAAAAAAGACTTCCCGTGCACAGCCAGCTCTTCTGTCCACAAGAGTAAAATCTCTTTTTGCATATGTCGAGAGCAATAAGCATGATCTGAAAGCTTGCACGAATAAACATTAAGATCATATAAAAATAGCTTTCCTAAAATAGATGCTTTCCTTCCCTTTATTCAGACGGTTGAGTCAAAGGCCGACAGCAGAGGAGCTAGAACAGAGGAACATTCTGAAACGTAAGTCACTTTGCATAACATGAAGGAAAAAGAGGAAAAAAAACTACAGATAAAAATGATTTGTGTGTGAGTGTGTGTGCTTTCTGTGCGGTTTCCTGCAGCTCGAAATGATCTGGAGGAGCAGGAGGAGAAGAGGGAGATCAAGAGGCATCTGTCGAGAAAGGTAAAGGCAAAGAAGATGTGGACAGCGTGTCTTTGATCAATCAGTGCTGAGATGGTTCATAACCCCAACTAGAAATATGAACATGGTTGCCTTGGAGACTAACCTACCGCTCTTCAGACTGCACCCCTTTGAGAAGTAGTTTTTGTGTGTGTCTTAGATCGTCTCCATCGCAGTCACATGTTACTGAATAATAAAGAACACCTGACACAGTAAACGTCAAATTAGAGTATATCTGATGATCCACCATACAGCAACAGTCATTCTGATTATCGAGCACATAAATCTGTGTGTTTGTTTTAGTGTGACCGCCATGGACTGAAGTTCTGGTCTGTTGGTGTGTGCTGATATGATGTGTTTGCTTTTCTCCAAACATCTCTACTTACATTGTTCCACAAGTTCTTTTAAAGAGAGGAGAGGTTTTCTCCCAGCAACCCTTCCAAACAAGCCATACTTGTTCAGGTTTTTTCTTCTGACATACATTTTAGCATTATCATGCTAATTGAGGCCTGTAGAGTCTGAGATGTAGCTCCTGGGTTTTTTACAATGTATCTAAGTATTTCACCGTCTGAGCTGGGGGTGAATTTGGATTTGAAAGTTATTAGCTGATGCTAACAATCAGCTGTGTATCCTTTTAAAAACAGCCTACAGTCATTCACTCACTACGTGGTTATACACCACTCTGTGTTTAATCATTTAATCATCTTTGTCATGTCTTCCTCTCCTGACCACAACCTGCTGTGGCAGATGGCCACTCCCTCCCTTAGCCTGTTTCTGCTGGAGATTTCTTCCTCTAAAAAGGGAGTTTTTCCTTCCCACTGTAGCCAAGGCACTTGCTTACAGGGGGCTGCATGATTGTTGAGATTTTCTGTTTTCTTTGTATTATTGTAGGGTCTTTCCTCGACAATGTAAAGCACCTTGAAGAAACATTTGTTGTGATTTGGTGAATATAAATAAAATTTAACTGAGTTGTAGTTTTCAACAAGTCTCACACATCTTCTGAGCAATCCCAGGTCATTCTTCTTTGGTGAATCTCTCAAGATTTGTTGGTCTTCAGTTCACCACACAGATTTTCAATGAGATTCAAGTCAGGGCTTTGTGCAGGCCAGTCAGTAATTTTCATTTCAGTCTTCTGGAGGTAGATCTTCACAGGAGTGACATGTATTTTGGGTTGTTGTGTTGGAAAACAAAGCACTGGTGCAGATCCAGTTTTGCTGCTGTTTGAGGTTTTCTTTGAAAATCTTCATATATCCTTCTTTCCTCATGATTCCTTGACTAGACTCCCAGTTCCAGACGCACTGAAGTATCAACAGTTCCTCACTTGGCTAAGTTGGTCACTTGTTGGCAGTTGTTCTGAGGATCAGGCAGATCTCTCACTAGTTTTCTTTCCAGAGTCTTTAAAGTCGTTCACTTCCTACCTCTGCCAGGCGTGCTATATGCTCTGTGGCTTTGAATTTCAGTAAATTTCTCACTCCAGTTCTTGACACTGTGATAACATTGTATGTCTATCTGCTCCTTAGTAAGCATAGACATTTTTTTCTCATGTAAACTGATTTCGTTTGATGCATGATGCTTTCCCAAGTTACAGCTCAAACTCTGGCTGAAGTTTTTATACTGTGTGTAAATTGGACAGCAACCCGCAGTTTTAATGATTTTATGTGTTTTAAGAATTATAAAGTTAAAGCACATCAAAAAATTGAAATCTGTAAGTTGGGGCTAATCATTTTGTCCTTGTCTGTACACACCTGAAAGTCCAGACCAGCAAACTACAAAAACTTCTGCGTTTGTAGACATCCTTACACTTACTGATAATTAATTAATCGGGTGCACCTGATTTGCAGCACCTGGCTGCCACTTACCCTCCTGGTTCATAAGAATGTAAGGATGTAAGGTCTGGTATTAAAAAAAGGGGAAGTTTTTTATGAAATTGTACAAAACTGTACAAAAGACAAAGTTAACTGTACTGAGGAGCACAAGTTACTTAATGCTGATTGGACAGCACCCATCTGTTCATCCACCTTTCAGCTCAGCCAGAGACCCACAGTCGAGGAGCTGAGAGAGGCGAAGATCCTCATCCGCTTCAGTGACTACGTGGAGGTCGCCGAGGCTCAGGACTACGACAGGAGAGCAGACAAGCCGTGGACTCGGCTAACAGCTACAGATAAGGTTCATTTCTCAAAAAGACTGGATTCAAGTAATTTGTACTAGTGTGCTTTATCTAAGTGTGTGTTTCTTTGTTCAGGCTGCCATTAGAAAGGAACTAAATGAGTTTAAAAGCACAGAGATGGAGGTGCATGAGTCGAGCCGTCATTTGACCAGGTATGGAAAAGTTGCACAGAACAGCTGCCTTACGAAACTGCAAAGCACTCTTTGTTTTGCTTTTTTGTTAAATGAGGTGTGTTGGGGAAGGTGCCAAAGTAAAGGTCATGGTGGAGTTCTGCTATGGACAGCAGTAGTTTTAAGAAGTGTGATTACACTTTTATAGCTGCCTCAGCCTTTATCAGCTAAAGCCTCACGTTGTCAGCTGTAGCTGTACCATGCTGCGCTGCCTCCAGATTGTTAAGCCCATAATTATGAGCAGCCAAGTGTGAAATCTTCAAATTACTTTCCTAGTTGTTGTTTTGTTTTGTTTTTTTGACGCAAATGCAATATCTCCTACTTTGCAAGTAAACCAGCAGAGGTGTTAACATACTGGTAGAATCATGCTGAAGTCACAGGTGCTAAAATCTGGTGTTGCCATTAAAAATATAGGCTGACTGGAAGTGAAGGTTTTCCTTTCAGGGTATCCTGTCAAATATTTGCTCAGTGAAAAATTCTAATTCGTCATTTGGGTTTTTTGGCTTCTTCTTTTGTCTCCCCTACTCTCAGTTTTCGAGAGCAATGGCAGAAAAGAGGGGGAGCTGTGCTCTTACACACTGTGAGATCTGCTATGATGTGTGGTTTGGAGATGGTGGCGCTGACAAAAAGACAGGAGGCTGAGTTGGAGGTGTCAGAGTTAAATATGTTGAGGTTTTCTTTGGGAGTGGCCAGACTGGACAGGATTAGAAGCGAGCATATCAGAGGGAAAGCTCAAGCTGAGTTTCTTGGAGACAAAATTGGAGGCAAGGCTTCCCATGGGGCCATGCTTGAAAAAGTTGACAGGGGCCTTCACCATGTTGGCCTTTTTTGTTGCTGGTTTGGCCTGGAGTCTTGCCAAGATGCTAGCTTCTTACAAATTTGAAGAATAACGCCCTAGAACAGGGGACACTGTACAAACTCTTGGTTTTGGAGTAAAAAGCCATTCCAGCCTTTCCATCAGGGTAGGTGTAGACTTGTCCAACATTCTTGATGGGCGGACTGGCAGGGATGGAGGGTGCCACCTCATCCTCACTGTCATCTGACCCAGCGCTGCTGGTGGACTCCTCGCTGCAGCTGTCATAGCCATCAAACATCCCGAATGAGTCTCGTCGCTTACGATCTGAACCCGGGGTACGATCAGCCAAATCCCTTGAGTCTTCCTTCGGCCCTTTATATAAATGCTTTTCTAGTTATCTGCACCTAGGGGTAGAACCTAGCTTTGAATTTTAGTCTACCTAGCAGGATATCGACAAATTACTCTGCAGCCGAGATAGTTTTGACATCTTTATAGGAGGGATAGTGGATACGTTGGACAAAGGACATTGAAGATTGAACTTCCAGGCTCATGAATGAAGTAGTTTAAGTAACTTTAAATGGTTGGTGCCAGACAGGCTGCTATGAGTAGTTCAGATTTTCAGGGATTTTTCTGCACAATCATCTCTGTAGTTTACACAGAATGGTCTGAGAAAGCAAAAATATCCAGTGAGCAGCAGTGCTCTGGAAGAAAAGGCCTCGTTGATGCTGGAGGTCAGATGAGGATGTCCTGACTGCTTTGTCTCCTTTTAGATAATTTCATTGTGTCAGAATAAAGAACATTTCTTCAAACATGCTCATTTTCTCTTCCTGGTTTCTTCCTACAGGTTTCACAGGCCGTAAGTCGGCTCGGAGACCTCAGCCATGTTTTTAAAATCCCTTAGAAGTCTCAAGTGTTCAGACTGCTACAGATTTCCAACATCAACTTCGAACTGGCTTCATCACACAAGTTTGAGCCATTACAGGAAACGGGAGAAAAACACTGAGATGGACGGATCAATGACTGTCTCCCCTCTGTGGAGATTTTGGTGACTTCTTGATATTCAAAAGCTTTTAATTGTATTTTTTTTATGATGAAGAGGTGGTGATATCTTTACTTTGCAGCACTTTTTTTTTTAAACAAGGCTCCTGGAGGTCCAACACAGAATCTGTGCCAATTTTACAGGATGGGGACGGTAAAAGATGAAACACAGGGTCTTTATTTCACTCTCACTGTTTTCATGCCTGTACCATATTTTCATCAGGCACAATTTTTCCTTTGAGTATGCTTGTGTTAGCTTGATTTTACTCCACGTATGACATCTCAGTAATCATTTCTCTTTGCCAGAGGCATGAAAACATTCCACAAGTGTGTACTATTGCAGGCAGCTGAAGCTTAAGCCAAATTGCCCTAAAATTCTAATCAAAGTCCAAGAGTGCTCTCTACAACAAAAGGAAATTCCTGTCTCCAAACACTTTCACATCAATCCACTGAGCAATAATGTCAGATTCTCTCTTTTGCATCAATCTAGTTGTGGGCTGCGTTCGAGTGTTCAAACACTTTTCAAACTTCAGATTCCCATTTTAAACCAAAGCAACTTGACCTGTTGTGAAAGCCGTCACCTTGAATGGAGAATTCTGGAGTGACGAGTATCAAGAGTTCAGTAACCCACTGTGTCACTGTGCCTACAGGCGTGTTTACAGGGATTTCAAAGTTGCCAAATAACCTTGTTTATTTGATACAGAATATTATCTGTAGACACAGTAAAATGTTACTGAGCTCTCTGCTGAATTACAAGAAGGACTGTGTTTGCATTTCACCTTTTATTGTCAGACATGAGCCTTTTTGGTACGAACGTGTCAATCCTGCCACCTTACGATTTGCCTTTTTTTCTCTCTCTTTTTAATGGTTTACACTTAAGATTGGGTCCATGAATTGGAGGTTTTTACCATGTTATTGGTGAGAACGAGCTGCGTGGGTTATGATTGTGTATCTGAGTGTGTGCGTATGCAAGAGTCAGTAATATTACTGTCACTTGTACGTGTTTAAAAAAATGTTTTGAGAAAACTCTTCTCAGAATTCTAAGAGGATGTACATAAATTAAAAGGATTTTCAAATGTTCTTTTGTAAAGCAGAAAGACCTGCATGTGGGTATTAATTTATTGTGAGTCTTCTATGATGTATGCAGTTTCTTAAAGAAAGAAACTTATTAAAAAAATAATAAGTTACAGCCTCGTCTGTTTTTTTTCCCCCCCAACCCACCACCAACTCAAGTCTCTTTCACCAGAATGGTTTGCCAGAGTCGCAGGGGAAACCTGGAAAATCAACAGTATGAAAAGGGTCCCCATTGTTTATCAAAAGCAGCCATGATGAGTTTTCAGTTCAGTTCAGTTACGCAGAGACAAAGCCCCGTGGACGGCAAGTGCCACAGTGTCTTAGTGAAGCATTGCGAGTCCAGGTGGATTTCAGGAAAGAAGATTACTTCTGGTTCCAGATATTTTCCTTGTCTGGCTCCGTGTTGCTATATAGCATGGATCAGGGTGCCGGAGTACTTATGCCACAAATCAATGGCTTTAGTGACAATGGCATCTGTGTTCTCCTGCGGTATCTGGAAGAGAGATTGAAGGGAAATATCATACAAAGCACATGCTAGGAGAGAATATGTGTCTGGATTTGAAAAGTTACAATGTAGGGGTCCAACTGTACATCTATCTGTCCTGTTAGGTCAAGGACGTCCAGTTCACCATGAGACTCGTTCAGTTGAATACACCCAGTGACCCAAACAAGTGCTATCAGTTTAGTCTTACATCTACATTCTGACACTGCAGCAGGTGTTTTGGCAGTGCACCAGTTGATGTCTCTCACCTATCTGAACTACAGCACAAGGAAAAAGATTTATTAAAAAAATGTGTTCACTCATTCTATACATTCTAAGTGTCATTCAGTCACAACCAGAACCTGCAACATCTGCTTGAATGGGTCGAATCAGAGCACCCGACTGGTAAGAGTCCGATCATCTCCATTGACTCCAGTGGACAGTTTGCTTGTTTGTTTGTTTTGTTTTACAGAAATAATGGATCACAGAGCTGGAAGTTAGCAACACACACTTGCAGAACTGCATTTTTATAAAGTAAGATATTTTAAAAAAAAAACCTAAATTGTATTAGTGCACATCAATCAAACTCACTTGTGTATTTAAAACATGTTGGTTAATTATCCAAAAATGAATTTGCAGATTTTGGGCATGTTAATTGAGGCCAAATTAGGCTAGCACAATATTAACTAGGAACAACTAATCGCCTGTACATTCTTTTTATCTTAATGTTATTTCATCCAAAATTATATCATCAGAAAAAAAGCCTACAAATCCTGCCAACTGTAACTGCTGTATCTGCATCTGATTTACTGTACTAACTCAAAAACCAAGGCTGGAGTGTTTATTGTTTATCAGCATCCAGGTATTGTTGGACCCATACTGTGAGACACAGTTGTCTCTTATACTTACATTGCACAAGAATTTGACCATGCCCTCTGGCCGGTTGATGCCCATCAAAATAATTTTGTAGCTGAGCAGGATCTCCAGGGCCACAAATACCAGGATCTTACACGAGCCACTGATCACCTTGTCCCACACCCTAAAGACAAGGGAAGACCACAATCAGACCAATAAAAGAGCCAACATACTACCCAGCACGTCCTAGAGCACACTTAAAGTTAGATAAACATAAATTTAATACAATTACTAGAATTTTTTTTTAATACTTCACATGCTTTAAAAAGACTGGCTGTCACTTCACATTTACTAATTAAGGCTGTAGGATATTCCCAAGGTGAGCCAAGAGCTATGGAATTTGTTCGATGCGTTTCATTATTCTCTGGGTCTGTAAATAAATTGTATATAAATAAGAAAGTACCTCCAAAATCTGTGTAATCTGTCCTCAACACAAAAATCCATTTTATGCTGGAAGTAAATTTTGGGCTACACTCCACAAACCCTTGAGAATGTGGAAACCATGAATTGGCCTTCAGGTGACCTCTATGACACAGTAACAGAGCGCTTTGACAAACAGTTAAGACAATCCGGACAAAGTGCAGCTTTCATGCACCTTTATGCTGACAATGTTTGCTTATTCATTAACACTGAAATCGACAAACTCAACAGTTCCTGTAGATGGACTTTTGGGTAGAGTCAGCTGTTGCTACACGGCTTGCTGAGCCATGCCATTCTTTGTAAATTGTGACTTTGGTTGATGAAGAAAAGATGGCCGGCAGCCTTCTGAGTAAGACACAATGTGGAACCCTATATAAAAGTTTTCTGCCATGCTGCCATGACTTCATGCTAAAGAAATGCAAGAATGCCCTTTAGCTTATGAGAATGCAGCTACCCTTGTTTTGTTGGCTCAATCCAAAGATGGTGAAATGAGCAGCTTCTGGAGTGAACAGTTAACTGACCTTTGCAGACTGGATTCAGGCAAGCAGCCAGCAAAGCAGCATCTGAACCAGAGATTGTAGGGTAGCTGATGCAGGGCTCCGCTGTTCTTCAGATGGTTTAGCAGTCGAGGTTCCTCCTGACTCAGATAATGCTCCAGGCTCTTTGGCTACCCCAGGAGGAAAATAACAAAGTCTTTATTTTAAGATCTTTGTGATCCAGATTGTTGGATCATGAGAACTTTACCATTATGCATTATACAGATTGTACAAATAGAAGTTACACCAAGATACTCTCACTCAGTGTCTCAGCGTTCTGTCAAAAATACATCAAAATATGTAGATTCACAAATTTATAAACATATAAGCAGTGTTGGGAAGGTGTATGTATTCCACTACAGATTACATGATTACAGAATACATGCCCCAAAATGTATTTTGTAACGTATTCCAATACATTACTCAATGAGAGTAATATATTCTGAATACTTTGGATTACTTAATATATTATCATGCTTTTTACAACTACATGAATGTACTATTGCTGTGTGATTTATTATTACTGAAGGTTACTCGCCATACCAATACCAACTAGATGTTTAAATCTTAATATAAATGAGTAACAGTAGGTGGACATTAGGTAAGGCTGCACTTTTTGCAGCGATCTCTTATAGAAAAATAATCGCGCGGATATAAAACAGGTCCACAGCTCCGAACCGTAGTAAAGGGACCTCTGGCTAATACGTCGGGTTCATTTCGGGCTCGTAGCCGAAAACTAGCTTTACTTTGTTGTCTAGGTCAACTTTGCTATTGAGAGACAGAGAGAGGCGAGTCTACAGTCGACTCTTAATAGCTTACTTACAACTGGGCTACACTGCCCATGAGGCTATATTCTTTAGGCCTATGCCTGTAACACTCTGTCTATTGCCTTCATATTGAATAATTTTTTGAACAATAATTTTTAACAATATTTCATCACGTCATTATGTGGGCTGCAAGTAGAGATGACGTGAGCCGCGAGATTGAGACACAGGCATTAGAGCCTCTTTATGGGTGTTTTGTTTGCGTTTCCACCAGCGTGGAATTACCAAAAATAGAGAGGATATAGCCTAACATATGAAACAGGAAAAGACCGCCGTGTAATCCCTTTATTTCAACTGTATTCTGAATACCACCTTTTTAAACGGTAACTGTAACGGAATACAGTTACTCATATTTTGTATTTTAAATACGTAACGGCGTTACATGTATTCTGTTACTCCCCAACACTGCATGTAAGTACAGCTGTCACTGTTTTAAAATCCTCAACTGTGTGAAACAGAGCACACGTGCATGGGCCTCAGCTCTACTTTGACAGTTCGCCTTAAATAGAAAGTAAGCAGCCTTTAAAAAAAACTCATTAGACTCAGCAGAACAGCTGTCTGTATGCACACAGCTGCGAGGGTTATTTATAACAACATTATCAGTGCAGCATTATCTCCAACATTATTAAACTTCACAAAGATGAGCAGTCTTTTATTCACACTGCTCATTAAAAACTGACGTACAGGAAAAGAAATTACATAAACACACTTTCATCACCTAGTTCTCATCATTTGTCCTCAATTCTTACTGCAATTTATCCTTTCTGTGACCAAAACTATCCAGAAAATGATTTAGTTTAACTGAAGAATGTTTTCTAACCATTGTCTTTTTTCTGGTCAACATCTGAGGCCTGTACTATGAAGCAGGATTAGGGATTTAGATTTATTGTATCACCTGCATTGTGCATTAAAGCTCTTCATATTTTTCCAATTTAAACTATGTTTTGTAAAATATGCTGCTGTGCTGACAGCACACCTGGCCATATGTTACCAAGACTGTCCCTTTACTTTGAATGGGCTCACTTAGATAGCTAACACCTGGGTTACTTCATTTGACTACTGAACACCTTCATGTAACCATTTAATGAGGCTTATGTTGTTATAGTTTTTGCTTTGTCGTTTTTCAACAATCTTCTTGTGGTGTGTGTGTGAGCGACGCAGTGTCTGCATATGTACCTTTATCACAAAACGTATCTAAAAAAGCTGCACTAACGCCAATTTATTCCCGTTCTTTTAGTTAATCTATTAACAATGTCAAACAGTTTGACAGGCTTATAGTATTTTTGCACAAAAAAGGTGCTTCACAAAGAGCTAGTAGCTGGAAACTTGGCACATCTCGGGATGGTGTACAGTGTGTGAAATGATGAAAACTAAACATTAAACACTTACAAGGTGAGGTACTGAGTCTCCAAACTTTGTATGGTACTGATTGACAAAACACTTGACGAGCCAGTAGCAGTCAACAGGATCATCTACAATCTCTTCCATGGCTCGGCTGATGGAGAGGAAGTCTTCATTCTCTTCATCCTGGTGAAGAAGAAAAAAACAAAAGAAAACATATCAACAATACAGACCCAGAGAAAAACACTTAAAATAAAATCTGTACTTTTTATGTGGTCATTGTTTCTTAACAATCAAACAGCTATACAACAACACTTTCATTGAATAGAACAGAATCTTTATTGTCACTGTTACAAGAACAATGATTGTTTGGCATCTCTCCGTTGGCAGCATGTAGATTTACATTCAGTTAGTTTGTTTAAGGACAGGAGAAGAAGATAAAAATAGGCATAGGTTTTAGGGGTATCTACTCAGGGAATGTGTGTGACACACAATGTGTGTAATACTATTGACAATGCCTTGGTTAGTATCATTATTTTCAATCTCACATGTCTGAATTTACAGCTATTTTTTCATTGACATACTGTATTAACACAGCTGATCTAAAAATCACACACAAAAAGCTCCCCATAAAAACCTAGTAGGAAAAAGTTACCAGAGGGGATAAATTCAGTTTTAGAATTTAGATTCAATGTTAACTGTAGCTAAGTTCAAATTGTTAATGCTAGCTTATTTTAATCAACAGCATTGTCATAAGCAAAACTAGGGTGGCAAAAGATTATTTTAGGGTGGCACATACCACACCATGCCACCCCTGCAGATTGGCCCTGTTCACTGCAAAACCAAGACGCCGCGTGTTAACATCTCCCCACACACCCAAACAATAAAACCAAAAAAAAAACCAGTTAAGTAAACCATCTGTGATACCTGTGACTGTTCTTGGGCAGTTGTTTTAGTCACTATCCAGACTTTTGTTTCTGTAGTTTGATATCATCACATTTTTTTATTTTCCAATTTTTAGATGTTATAAGCATGACATTATAATTTCAATTGCTTATTTTGTCTTGTGAATTCTTGCTTGATGTACTTTTTGTTGCTATGATCTTTTGTTTGATCTTGAACTCTGCTGCTCAACCCACAAATGCATTTTCTTTACAAATGTGGCACCATTTAAGGGGAAACAAACAGGCTTTCGAACAGTGTGAGAATTATTTCTTCACTGTTACAAGAAAGAAATATGTGACAAAACACAAATTTACATCCTTTTCGCTTATTATGGACTGATATACTTTATTTTACCGGGGATGAAGTCTCAGAGCATCGCGGGAGGGTCTGGCTCTCCAGTTGGAACATCCGCAAGTAAACATGGGTGGAGGGTGTGGAGGAGTTGATGTATCTCATCACTTCCAGAGCTTCCAGGATATCCTGATACTGCTCCTTCCTGTAGCCCCCAACCAGAGCATGAGAGTCACTGTGTGGAGGTAGGATGCCTGCAGGCACAGATGACTTCTAGTTAAGAAATGTATACATACACATTTAACAAAACTGAGTTAATTTTAAAAAAGGAGTGCAGTGTTCAGTTGTGTTGGACAGATTAACCTATTTAGCATAAATAAGTTCCAAACAAGAGAAATCGAAGTAAACGAAACATGTGTTTACATGCAGCTCTTAGCCTTGCATATGGCTGCATATGTCTATACTGCAAATCACAATTACTGAAAATGAATATTTTAAATATAGTTTTTTTTAAAAATCTTTAAAGACTAGTGCAGTACAATAGCTAAGTGATTCTCTCCCGTATTTTTTGTTTCTACCCATCTAGTCAAATCTGCATAACTGAAGAGGGTGACAGGGTGAACACCTGATCGCATGTGATTCTTACCCAGCAGTACCTTCCACACATGAATCCTGTACATGGAAGGAAGGGGGAACCTCTGACTGAAGGTGCTTAGCTTTTCTAAATCTGTAAGAGAGCAAAACTCTTCAGGTATGAAGTTTAAAAAAAGGGAAATTGAAAAAATATATATATAAAAATACATTTATTTATTTTTTTGGTCTGGCTTTTTCCAGACCAAAAAAAAAAACCATGAAAAATGTGTCATTGTACATGCATATGTGTGCATGTGTGTGTGTTCCGTGTTCAGCCAAGAGAAAGTGTCCCTTCAGTCAGTTAGGCAAAAGTCAGCAATCTTAGGTCGACACAGGTGGTCTTGAATGAGGGGGGAGGCAGTAGTTGAGGTAGTTGTTTTGGTTAGCGGAACAAACAGCTTCCAATTTTACAACCAGCCTTGTGGGATTTTGAACAGCTGTAGCCGCTTCTTGTTCTTCAATAAGCCAGGCCCGAGCCAGCTCCAATCAGCCAGAACTCTGCTATTGTGGTTCCAAATTGGTAGATGTCGTTCAATGTCCTCCATCGAGAGTGTCGTCAGACACATGATGCAACCAACCATCGAGTACCCGGCAGCAAACGTCTCCACAGGACAATTGGGCTCTCCCAGGCCCAGGAGTTGTCAGTTTCGTTAAGGGACCAAATCCATAATTCTTCTTTAGGTTTTTAGAGAACAAGTCTGGGAGACTCTCTTAGGGTTAGAGAATAAGCGAGACTATACAAAAGACACGAGAAGCCAAGCTGGAAAGATAAGGGAGAGGGAGAAGGAGAAAGATGTACTCCATTTTACAGTGTATGACTCAGGAAAACAATCCTGCTCAGTTATTCATTCAAGTTTGAGATCTGTGGCAGTAAAAGAGGAAAATGTTAACACTGGAATGTTTTTCCTCCTTGGAAACCTGCAACATGACCAAGAAGGTGCCCTTCATTTAAACGTTCCTCAGTTAGTAAGGGACCCAAACTGTGCGAAGAACATATATCTCAAGCCATTACACACCATCAACACCAGCCTGAGTCACTGACACATGGCAAGATGCATGCTTTCATGTTATGTGCACCATATTTTAACCATTCATCCGTCTACCATTTGAATGCTGCAGCAGAAATCAAGACTTATCAGATCAGACAATGTTTTCTACTGTTCAATTCCAATCAGCCCATGACGATTAGAGTCTCCGTTTTCTGTTATCAATTGACAGGAGTGGCACCTTCTGCTGCTGAAGCCAATCTGCTCCTAAGTTTTACATGCCGTGCATTCATATTGGCACTTCTGCATAACTAGTTCCAATGGGTGGTTCTTTAAGCTACTGTTGCCTCCCTATCAGCTCAAGCAGCCTTTGCAATCCTCCTCTGACTTCTGCCATCAACAAGGCATTTTCACCAAGAGAACTGCTGCACAGTGCATTTTTTCTCTGCAAACCCCTGAGTGGCCTGTGCCACTCCGATGGTGACAAATCAGATGATGCAAACAACCATGCCGCATTCAAAAATCACTTAAACCACCTTTCTTCATTTTGCAAGACTCAGTTTGAACTTCGGCAGGTAATCTTGATTATGTTTACATGCCTAAATGCATTCAGTTGCTATCACGTGATTGGCTGATGAGATATTTGCGGTAATGAGTAGCTGAACAGGTGTCTTTAATAAAGTGTTCGTAAGATTATATTATAGCATAGGCTTACAGGTATATTGTTATTGTCATGGTAGTGCGGACGCTTAGCTAGCAAGAGACTTTACACTTATGCTACCTATGCTAGCACGAGCGATAATTTTCCGTTACCCACCCAGAGGATTGTCTTTGAGTAGTATCTCCAGGGACTTCTTCTCCTCCACTCCTCTGAAACCCACTTTCTCGTAGTATGCAGAGCGAAAATTTCTCTGTGGGTCATCAGCCATGGTGCCGCCTGGACAGTTAAACATGTGCATTTCAAACTAAAGAAAAGCAAACTTTAAGTATTAGCCTGTTTTAGCCTGCATGGACATAAGACAAAGTTTCTCGTCCAGACGTGCAGCTTGGGGGAAAACAGAAAAATGTTTTTAATTTGGCTGACTAAAAAAGTTAATTACGACGCCCTGCAGTTTGCTGGAACACAAACACAGTGAACACAAAGACTCCTGCCTTGACGTTTCAAAGCGTTTCGTGCTCCCTCGACCATCAGCTGCCCCACAGCTATTTGCTACATAACGTCAGCAAACAAGCTAGTGTTAGCTTAGGAACAGATAACCAGCTAAAAGCATAACTACTCTAAAGTAAAAATTCTCTGAGAGACTACTAAATAGTATTAAAGTGGCCATCACAACCAGTGATAAGAACAATTTAAACAGATAAAAAATCTACAGATAAATTGACAACCTCCTCCGGATGCCATACAATGTTGTTATGAAAACCCTTCCGGGTGATACTATCAAAATAAAATCCGTAGCAACGTTCCAAATATGAAAAATATTTTTATTTTGAAAATATAGATTACCATGCTACGCCTCATATACGATTGCACTTTCAACTCTGCTTGCCTTGCATTTCTTGATCTTTATCTTGCAGGTTATTTATACTACATTATTTATACTACATTATTTATAAACAAATAACTAATAAAGAAAAATCAACAAGCTTCTTTCTTTAAGGGAAAGGTGTGTCACAGCTTTCATAACCCACTTAGAATACTATTTAGATTGCTACTTTTTAGACTTCCTATATTCATTTTATTTTATTGAACTTTTCTGAGACATTTTTGCCTTTTCGAGCTATTTTGTTTTGTCAGATTCTATCATACTATTCTACTTTATGCATCTACCATGTTATTGCCTGTGTTAACTGTTTGGGTGCCCTAACACCAGTTGTTCAATTTTATTTCTTTCAAATCAAACCTTAATCTGAAAAATGCATTTGATTACTTGTGATAATGCCAAGGCTGAAGCAATCAAATACAAATATCTATAATTTTTAATCTTTCATTTAGCATTTTATATAGATGAAATTACCACAGCACAAATGTATTGTACTGCGAATTGAAAATCAAACAAAAATAAAAAACAAATAAAATGAACAAACATATCTTACATGGCAGCAACAAAGGGTATTTTAGATGAACACAAATAAGAACAGTCAGGAATGAGCAAAAAACTCAAGTTTTTATTTTAAGATACTGGAAAAAAAAAACGTTACAAAAGTGGAAGCACTACTGGGCAAGAAACCAATGAATGAATAAATGATGACTTTATGAAAATGATGAAGAACAGCAGTTAAGCCAATGCAACCCAACTATAAATCCCTCCCTGTAAACCAAACACACAACATGTCAAATAACTGTAAACACTATTCTATCATTTTTCAAATGCAAAGCATACAAAGTGATATTTTCATTAATTTTTGAAAAACAAATTAAATGACATAAACTATATTTTTAATCCACACACCTTATTTTAGAAACCATTAATACTTTTGTCCATTAAAAAACAAACAAAAAAACAAACATCTTGCAGTTTTTCTGTATAATTTGAACTATAGATTTTTAAGCACATCAACACCAAAGCTTACTCTAAAAATATGCGAACATTTAACAATTCAGACTGCTAAATATAAATTTTCTCCTCACACAGAACACTCATTTTTTCCACAACTTTTTTCCAAAACACTGAAAATAGTTTTGACAAATTCTGATTTGTGTGCAAGAAAAGCACAAACTGCTTTTCTTTTATCAATTTAGCTTTTGGTTTGGAAGGAGTTGAAGCTGGAAATACTGTAGCGACTGACTGATGAGGATATGGGAGAGCCTAAGTCTAAACTGTTCCTGCGGGAGCTTCGTCGTGAGCCACTCCGGGAGCCTGTGGTGGATCCTGGGGCAGAGGCAACATTGTATGGACTACTGATGCCTCTCGAAGACACAGATGACGCCTGGAGCATTTTAACGCCAGTGCTTTCCTCTGTCAGGCAGTTATCCAGAGCCTCTTTGTAAGAGATTTTAAGTTTACTTTTGGGGCATGTTAGGTTCTTTGTGTGGTATTTCGTATCTTGGAGCTTCTGGCCTGCTCTCCCATCCAGCCAACCCATTTTCAAGGCATCTTCTATGGTTCTTCTACCACCCATTTCTGGGTCATACAGACCTCCTGTTACAACTTGGAACTCCATGAATCTCTGTCCTGCTTCATATGGCAGCCACATCTCCTTAACTGCCTCAGGAACTGACATTTTTCTCTTCATTTTTACATCTTCAAAGCCAATATAGGCTTTTTGAGCAGGCTTAAGTTTAGTGGCCATGTCTTCAGTTATTATGCCCATACGACATGCCTCTTGGATGCTGACCCTTCTGCCACTTGCAGGATCAACAATTCCTCCAGTGCACGCCTGGGCCTCAAGCAGTCTCTGGGTAGTGATGGAATCCACTAGATCACGATTTAACGCCTCTGTGACAGATATCTTCTCTACGTTGTCTGTGTCAAAAATGGCACCAATAGGTTCTTGTTCACCCACTATTTCAACAGGAGAGGACAGAGTGAAAGATACACTGGACATGTGTTTATGGAAATCAGGTGAATCTTGCGAAACACTGCTGGCGCTTCGCTCTGTGACAGTGGTCGTCTTTGTTGTGGTCATTTTAGCGAGAGTGGGAGATAAGGGTCTTGACACCAGTGAGGATGATCGTGAGGATGATGTCGACAAAGAGGGAACTGAGCCTTCTGATGTTCTTAAACTTGATGATGAAGATGTTTTTGTAGTTGTTGATGATGATGTTACTGAAGATATTCCCAAAGGTGTTCTTGAAGTTGTTGATGATGATGATGATGATGATTTCACTGAAGATGTGCCCAAGGCAGCTGGTTGTCCAAACGATGAGCTATGTTTGGTCTTTCTGGTGATGATATCAGCGAATTCATTAATGGTGATGGCTCGTGCACGATACTGAGCTACAACTGATTCATCAATTAATCGCTTTTCAAGCAGTTCTGTAATGTCATACTGTCTTCCAGTTTTCTTGTCATTAATAAGAAACTTTACAGAACCATCTGGAGCAGTAATAGTGACCTCTTCCCATTCACACTCTTGGTCGGACAGCTCCAGGAAGGTCTCGTAGTCAATAAGCCCTTTGTCATATGCTTCTCGGACTGTCATCTCTTTATTGGTGTCTGGGTCCACGATCAATACTCTCCTCTTCCTCAGAGTGTTCTTCTGTGTTGACTCTTGACTTTTCTTGTCGATTATAGGCAAAAGCATGAGGCCGGTCTTCTTATCTGGGATACAGCGGTTCTTAAGCTCCGTGTAGGTTAGGTTTTCTTCCGTGTTAGGGTCAAAGAAACCTTTAGTATCAGCATTCTGATCAGAGAGGATCTTAATCATTCCGTCATCCAGGTAGCCTCTTTTGTAGGCTACATTCACATCAATACGATGACTGTGTTCCGGATCAATGATACCACCACTGGCAATTTGGGCCTCTAGTAGACGAATGCCATGGCCTTTCTCCACTAGACCTTTCTCAATGGCCTGAAAGAGAGAGATAGTCTTGTCTGTACCAGGCAGTCTGTAACCAGTCACAGCCCTTTCTGCCGCTAGCAGGTTATCTTTAAACTCTGGCCCAAACAGTCTTCTATTGTAGGCTTCACTAACAGTTAGATAGAGATTGTTCACAGGATCAACTATAAAACCTGAGGCAGCCTGAGCTTCAAGTAGTTCAAGAGTGGTCCCAGATTTCAACAGTCCATCTTTCATTGCCTGATAAATTGTCAGTACTTTATCACTGGCCTGATCATAAACTCCTGCTATGCAGGTGGAACCTCTCAGATAGGAGCGTAGACGCTCTTCAACCTCTTGGCTAGTCAATCTACCTTGATTCAACTTGTCAATATCAGACCGCTGCAGCAAGTTTGCATCCACTAGATCCACAACAGACACCTGGCCCCTAAGCCCCTGGACAGTTGCTGGCTTTTTAGGTTCAGGGAGAAGCAAAAGACCTGTGCTTGGATCAGCTTTACATTTTTTCTTCAGGGATACATAAGGAGTTCCTTGCTTGGTGTCTGGGTCCAGATAACAGTCAGGACCCTGACTCAAGGCATGGTATAGATCCTGATCTATGAGATTCCTATTTAGTGCAATGTTTTTGGGTAGGAATATACTGAGGTCAGGGTCCAATATACCCCCTACAGACTCTTGAGCTTGAAGCACACGCAGAGCTGTGTCCTTGTCAATTAATCCCTTCTTCATGGCCTGGCCAGCTGACAGAAGTTTGCCAGTAGTAAGGTCTTTGTAGCCTATAGCAGCAGCTTCCGCTGCAAACAATTTTGATTCATCCTCTTTATCCACTACTCCTCTGGCACATGCTTCTTTGACTGTTAGTTTCTGGTTAGTTCTGGGGTCAATGATGTGACCTGTGGCAGCCTGAGCTTCCAGTAACATGTCAGCACTATCAGATGACAGAATTTTCATTTTCTTTGCCTCTGTAAAGGACATTTTCCTTGAAGGCCCAACTGCCACACCAGCAATGGATCCGGTCCCTTTTAGAAAGACTTTCTTATCCACAGAGACTTCTGGGACTGTTTTCTTTCCCTTCAGTAGTTGGTCAAACGTTGATTTGTCCAGGACCCCACAATCAAGCAACTGCTGTGCTGAGACTGGTTTGCGAACACCATCAAACATTAGTTTGGAAGGGTCCTTCCTCTCGGTGACTGGTAAAAGTATCAGGCCTGTGTGAGGCTCTGATTTGCATCTTCTCTTTAAAGACCCATAGCTGACATCACGTTCTGTGTCTGGATCAAGGTAACAATCGGGGTTCTGGTTTAATGCACGAAGCAGATCTTGATCCAGAAGACTATGCTTTATAGCTGTGTCTCTAGGTAGAAACACGCTAAGAACTGGATCTAGAATGCCACCTGCAGATTCCTGGGCCTGCAGCAGACGTAGTCCTGTCTTTTTGTCAATTATTCCCTTCTTCATCGCCTCAAACACTGAAAGAGGCTTGGCTGTGTTAGGATCTTGGTAGCCCACGGCAGCAGCTTCTGCTGCCAAGAGTTTCTCTCGATCTTTACTGTCCACTACTCCCCTTGCACATGCCTCCTCTACTGTCAACTTCTGATTTGATGTAGGCTCAATAATGTAACCTGTAGCAGCCTGGGCTTCCAGAAGTAAATCTGCACTATCTGGGGGCATGATCATCTGTTTCTTGGCTTCTGCTAAAGAAATCTTCCCTGAAGGCCCAGCTATTACACCAGCAATTGAACCAGTCCCTTTTAGAAAGATCTTTTTATCCACGGAGACCTCAGGGACAGTCTTCTGTCCTTTTACTAGCTGGTTAAATGTTTCCCTGTCAAGAACCCCACAATCAAGCAACTGCTGTGCTGAGACTGGTTTGCGGACACCATCAAACATTAGTTTGGAAGGGTCCTTCCTCTCGGTGACTGGTAAAAGTATCAGGCCTGTGTGAGGCTCTGATTTGCATCTTCTCTTTAAAGACCCATAGCTGACATCACGTTCTGTGTCTGGATCAAGGTAACAATCGGGGTTCTGGTTTAATGCACGAAGCAGTATCCTTGATCCAAAGGTTACAGCTTTATAGCTGTGTCTCTAGGATAGAACACGCTAAGGTTACTGGATCTAGAATGCCACCTGCAGATTCCTGGGCCTGCAGCAGACGTAGTCCTGTTCTTTTTGTCAATTATTCCCTTCTTCATCGCCTCAAACACTGAAAGAGGCTTGGCTGTGTAGGATCTCTGTAGCCAACAGCAGCAGCCTCTGCTGCCAAGAGTTTCTCTCGATCTTTACTGTCCACTACTCCCCTTGCACATGCCTCCTCTACTGTCAACTTCTGATTTGATGTAGGCTCAATAATGTAACCTGTAGCAGCCTGGGCTTCCAGAAGTAAATCTGCACTATCTGGGGGCATGATCATCTGTTTCTTGGCTTCTGCTAAAGAAATCTTCCCTGAAGGCCCAGCTATTACACCAGCAATTGAACCAGTCCCTTTTAGAAAGATCTTTTTATCCACGGAGACCTCAGGGACAGTCTTCTGTCCTTTTACTAGCTGGTTAAATGTTTCCCTGTCAAGAACCCCACAATCAAGCAACTGCTGTGCTGAGACTGGTTTGCGGACACCATCAAACATGAGTTTGGAAGGGTCCTTCCTCTCAGTGACTGGTAAAAGTATCAGGCCTGTGTGAGGCTCTGATTTGCATCTTCTCTTTAAAGCCCCATAGCTGACATCACGTTCTGTGTCTGGATCAAGGTAACAATCGGGGTTCTGATTTAATGCACGACAGAGTTCCTGATCCACAAGGTTACGCTTTATAGCTGTGTCTCTCGGAAGGAACACGCTAAGGTTTGGATCTAGAATCCCACCTGCAGATTCCTGGGCCTGCAGCAGACGTAGTCCTGTTTTTTTGTCAATTATTCCCTTCTTCATCGCCTCAAACACTGAAAGAGGCTTGGTTGTGTAAGGGTCTCTGTAGCCAACAGCAGCAGCCTCTGCTGCCAAGAGTTTGTCTCGATCACTACTGTCCACCACTCCTCTTGCACATGCCTCTTCTACTGTCAGCTTCTGATTGGATATGGGATCAATGATGTGACCTGTCGCTGCCTGGGCCTCCAGTAGTAAATCTACACTGTCTAAGGGCATGAGCATCTGTTTCTTGGCCTCTGATAAAGACAGTTTCCCTAAAGGTCCAGCCACCACACCAGCAATCACTCCTGTCCCCTTTAGAGAGATCTTCTTGTCTGCAGACACCTCTGGGACAGTCTTCTCCCCCTTCAGTAGTTGGTTAAATGTTGGTTTGTCCAGCACCCCACAATCAAGCAAGTCCTTTGCTGTTACTGGTTTACGTACACCATCAAAGACCAGTTTAGTAGGATCTAGTTTCTCTGAGACTGGCAAAAGTAGCAGACCAGTATGAGGCTCTATCTTGCATCTCTTTTTCAAAGTCTCATAGCTGGCATCATGCTCAGTTTCCGGGTCAATGTAACATTCAGGATCTTGTTTCAGAGCATGGCGAAGGTTTTCATCTAAAAGGTTGCGCTTAATAGCTGTGTCTTTAGGCAGGAACACACTGAGATTGGGATCTAGAATTCCTCCCACTGATTCTTGGGCCTGCAGTAGACGCAGTGCAGTCTTATTGTCAATCAATCCTTTCTTCATGGCCTCAAACACTGAGAGAGGCTTGGCAACTTTAGGATCCTTGTAGCCAACAGCAGCAGCCTCAGCTGCCAATAATTTGTCTCTATCTCTTATATCCACTACTCCTCTGGTGCATGCCTCTTCTACAGTCAACTTCTGATTTGTTTGAGGGTCAATTATATGACCAGTTGCAGCCTGCGCTTCCAGTAGCAAATCTGCAGTATCCTCAGGTAGCAACATTTGTCTCTTGGCTTCTGACAAGGACATTTTGCCTTGCTTCCCAGCTACCACCCCAGCAATTGGCCCAGTCCCCTTCAGATTGACATTTTTATCAACAGACACTTCTGGGATGGTTTTCTTCCCCTTTTCTAGATCTTTAAATGTTGGCTTGTCCAGGACACTGCAATCCAGCAGCTGCTTGGCTGTGACAGGTTTTCGAACACCATCAAAAATAAGTTTGGAGGGATCTATCTTCTCAGTGACAGGAAGAAGAAGAAGGCCCGTGTGTGGTTCTACCTTACATCTTCTCTTCATTGACATATAAGTTACACCGTCCTCGTTTTCTGGGTCCAGGTAGAGCTCAGGTCTTTGACTCAAAGCACGGCATAAGTTGTCATCAATTAGGCCACGCTCAATGGCTGTGTCTTTGGGAAGGAACACACTGAGTACTGGATCTAGAATGCCCCCCACAGACTCCTGAGCTTGTAAAAGACGCAGTGTTGTGTTTCTGTCAATTAGTCCCATCTTCATGGCCTGAAATACTGAAAGAGGTTTATTTGTCCCAGGTCCATTATATCCTACAGCTGCAGCTTCTGCTGCTAGCAACCTCTCTCTGTCCTTATCATCAATCACACCATGATTACATGCTTCTTCAACTGTCAACTTTTGATTAGTTCTGGGGTCAATTATGTGTCCTGTAGCGGCTTGAGCATCCAGAAGCAAATTGATGGCATCTGCTGGGAGGAGATTTTCATTCTTGGCTTCAGTGAAAGTCAGTTTTGCAAACTGAGGTCCAGAAATGGAGCCTGGACCTTTTAGACCTTCAACTACCACCCCGGCTATTGGGCCTGTACCTTTTAAATTGACTTTTTTGTCAACAGACACTTCAGGGACAGTCCTATGTCCCTTCACCAGCTGGTTACATGTTTGTTTATCCAAAACACCACAATTGAGCAACTGGTCTGCTGTCACTGTCTTACGGACTCCATCAAAAATCAGAGTGGAAGGATCCAAGGTTGGGGGTTCTCTGGCAGTCTTCAGTTCAGTTTCTATGTTCTTTCTGACAATGGTGACCTCATGTAATTCTTTCTGGGTGGCTGACAGTTTAATTTTATATGACTCTTCAAGCTCACGTAACTCTCTCATCAGCCTTTCTATCTCACTTTTCAAAGATTTCTTTTCCCTCTCCGAAATATCCTTGTCTGTCTCATACTGCCTAATCAGGCCATGTTTGCTATCACACTGGTCCTTCCAGTGACTTAAATCCCTCTTCACTCTTTCGTTCTCCTCCTGTAGACGCTGCTTATTGCGATACTCAGATTCTAAGGACAGTTTAATGCGGCTGAGTTCCTCCTCTAGTCTTAAGATGTGGTCTTTGTCCTTTTCTGACAACTGCAATTTCAGCAACAGAGTGTCTCTCTCGGTTACAATTTCATTATACTGGGACTGAAGGGATTGCATGGTGGCTCTTATCTGCAGGAAATAAAGAGAGAGAAAAGAGACGAGAAGTTACTCAACTCAAAAATACTCATATATTAACAGTATAGATGAGGAACCTCATTTATTTCTTTTTCATTTTTTGTATACAACCAGTGGTTATTGAGGACAGTGCACATTCTTGCTCTTTTCAATCTTTCACAGTGCAAGAATTCTTTCTGCGGAAAGAATATTTGGGTGCACAGCTTATTTAGAAACAATAAAAGCATTTTCTCAAAAAAGTTTTTTGTTGTCGTTACAACTCAAGCCTTTTTACATTTTTGTAAAAGAAAAACAGCTGGCAATAGTGTTAAAAGTTGAAATATAAAAAGCAAGTCTGTGCCTGTTCTGCCAAATTGTCATTTGGTTTGCTATACTAGTGATATAACAAAAAATGGCTAATTCTATTTAACAACCAGAAAGCAAGACTGATTTGCAAAACAGCACAGATACATAAAACCAATAGATGTGGGCCAATCGTGATCACCTGATTTTAGTTTGCAAGAGGAGTTGTCATAAGCATTTTTGGAAACTGTAAATTTCTGAAGTCATGCCAGTGCTGTTTTACAAGATTGCAAAAGGTGTCTTTAAGCCCATTAAGATGTACTAAAAATATAAGAAACAATGATCAGAATCTAGTAGACCAGGAAACCAGCGGCAGTGATGGTGCTGATCATTCTGGGCAAATAAAGTGACCCCAAAAAAGCAAGCGAACTGCACTAACTCTAACCCTTAACTCCCCATCTTTCCACAGTGTGTACAGGGAGACAGTGGAATAGGAAGGCTGTCAGGTAGAGAGGCGCAGATTATGTTTGCATGCGAGTTTATACACATGCAAGTTTATTCAAACACATACAGACAGTATGTGTTCAAATCAGAGTTGCATCTACAAGAGGCACTCCAGCATGCAAGGAAAGGGTTTGCTTCAGACTAGCTAGAGCTACAGTTGCTACTTGAATGCTTCAAGTGGTGAAGACTCTGATTTGGAAAGACGAGAACAGTCCAGGACTAAGCACCAAACTTCCATGTACCTCGGTGGCCTGCGTTTGTATTTTCTCAGTCTCCACTTTGAGTTTCTCCCTCTCAGAGGAGAGCTCGGAGACCAGGTTGCGGTAGTCTAAATTACTGCGCTCACTGGCCTGTAGCTGCAGCTCCAGCGCAGTAATCTGCGAGGAGAGCTCATCATCACTTCCCTGTTTGGCCCTCAAGAGTTCATCTTTCTCATGTCGTGTTGTCCTTAGCTCCTCATCCAGTCTCAGCCTCTCTTTGGTCTGAGATTCTGTCAGCTCCTTCAGCCTTTGAAGCTCAACTGAGTTCGCATTCAGTATCTTGCTTTTCTCCTCTATAGATTTATAAAGACCTTCATTCCTGAGGTTTGCCTCTTTGACTTTGAGCTGCTCCTCAAGCAGCTGCTGCTGAAGGGCTTTCAGGTCAGAGCTCAGCTGCGTGATGTGCTCTGCAGAGGTCTTGTTCTGTCTCAAGTTTTTCTCTAGCTCCTCCTGCAACTGAAGACGCTCTTCTTCACCTCTCTTTTCGGAATTGCTGGCTTGTTCTTGGCTTTGGCGTAGTGCAACGACAGTGCTGCTGTGTTCTGCCAGGGTCATATTGGTCTTCTCTAGCTCTGACTCGATCTGCCTTCTTCTGGCTACTTCTTCTTGGTTAGCTTGCCGCAAATTCTCCACCTGGCTCTCAAGTCCATCTCTTACAGCTTGGAGGTCCTTGATGCGTCCCTGTAAGCTTCTCATATTTTGCTCAACTCTGCTTCGCTCCCTGCTTTCTCTCTCCAGCTCCAATCGCAGTTTCTGAAGCTCCTCCTTGTACTCCCGCCCCTGGGTTACAGCCACTGATGAATTAGTTAGCTTCACTTGCAGCTGGGACAGAGTCTGTTCAAGCACACCCTGACCTTCTTCCGCAGTTTGTCTTCTGCGGGTCTCCTCCTCTAGACTGTGTGTGACATAAGCCAGTCGGTCACTCGTCTCCTGCAGGTCCTTCCTAACCTCAGCCAGCTCTGCTCTATACTGGCTACTTTGCTCGTCTCTCTGCCTCATCAACAGTTCCACCTGACTTTCCAATTCTCTTCTCTTGCGGCCTTCCTCGATGATTACAGCCCGCTGAGTGTGAGCTTCCTCATCTGCTGCCTTCCTTTGTTCCTCAACCTGGCTGATAGATATTCGGAGTCTCCGTAGCTCCTCCTCGAGATTCCTCCTCTCTGCCTCCATCCTGTCATACTGCAGCTGGAGCTCCACTGTATCCTCGTCCCTCTCAGCTGCCAGCCTTTGCATGTCTGCATGGCTGACGTGGATCTGAGATTCGTAGCTGAGCTTTAAGTTATTGATCTCCGTACTGTATTGGCTCCTTACCTTTGATATCTCCTTCTGCAGCTCCATGAACCTTGCTGTCTCGTCAGCAAGCTGTCGCCGGAGCTGTTCAATCTCAAGCTCTTTATTTGACAAAGTCTTCTCCACCTCCACCTTGGACCAACTGACTGTCTCCAGCTCGTTCTGCCTCTTTCTCAGCACTGCTTCATACTCTTCTTGCTGCTGAGTGTAGCGCTCTTCTGCTAGCTTCCTCTTCCTCTTTTCTTCATCCAGCAAGTAGTTGAGACGTTCCACCTGATCTCTGAGGCCTGCCAGCTGGCTCTGTGTGTTATCTAGGTTCTCCTTGGTGGCACTGCACTGCAACGATGCAGTTTGTTTCACCTCCTCCATTGACAGCAACTGTTCTTTTGACTGGTTCAGCTCCCGTTGGTACTGAGCAAGAGCATCTTCCAGTGATTTGTTCTTGGCGTTGCGGTCTCTCATATCGTCTCTCAGAAGGCGAAGTTCTTCTTCTAACAGGTCAATCCTTGTGTTACGAATCTGAAGGAAAGACAAAGAAAAGATGAATACAAATGTGTTTTTAAAAATGATAAATTAAACTTTCATTATTATTTTTTACCCACTTGTGTTGTGGTTAACAAGTATCCAGCACAACATTTGCTTAGCACAACCCTATTAACACCACATTCATATCGTGTTGCCATGAAGAAACCTTCCATTCAGTTTGAGGCAAATCCAAAACCCCCAACCAGTTCTGACAGATACCTATGCCTTCCTGTTAAAAGGGAGTTTTTCCTTCCCACTGTCACCAAATGCTTGTTTATGGGGAGTGGGGGAGGGGGCGAGATGTTGTCATCTCATCGGATCGTTGGGTTTTTCTGTGTTATTGTAGAGTTTCATTTGCCATTATAATTAATTGAATTAAAAAAAAAACTATAGTTATCTCATGTCTCTTGCGTTCTCCACCAACTTTTCTGTATTTTAGGTCTTATTGAACAAAAAACTGCTTTTTTTTTAATCTTGATCATACTATAGAAGGTTATCCATATGAAACCACACACTTGGCTAACAGGTTATCAATCATAAGACGTGTGGTTGTGAGTTAGTGACAATGAAAAGACTCATCTTGAGACTACAAAACGGTTCTTAAATAACTAATAATCTGTCCATGGAGGTTGCTTGTACTTACAAAGTGAAATTAGTCACAAATGAGGTATGTGGTTTAGCTCAACAAAACCTCCCTGTAATTGCTTTGTTCACTAACAGATTACTACAGTCATCCATAGCTACACTGTTATTATCTTAGTTTGCAACCATAACTTATTAACACTAAACTGCACCTTTAGCACAATGTCCAGCTGTGAAAGATATATTTTTCTCTAGATTGATACCATCTGATCTCAGAAGCTAAGCAGCATTGTGCCTGGTTAGTACTTGAATGAGAATACACATTTTTCCTTACCAAGTGGTCTGCCTGGGAGTAGGCTACCAGTCTATAGTCCTATGTGAGAAAAAATTTGCTTTCCATAGGATACTAATATCCAACATAGTGGATAGTAGGTTGCTTATTATGACTAGCTGCAACTTAGTCACAACATATGTCCTTGGCATTGGTCATATCTAAGTGAACTTTACTCTCTTTATACTGAAACTCATGTATATAGCACCTGTAGTCTGTCAGTTCTTGGACAGTCAGTAACATTGCATTGTATGCAATGCCTGTCTTAATACTCTGTTAGCTGATGGATATTAATACACCGAGTTCATGAGCAAAAGACGCATGTAAATGGGAGCAACACAATGCTGACTGCAGGTGATGTTATTAACAACAATGGTTTGCTGGAAGGTATAAAGGAGTTCCTTTAACTTTAACGTTATATCAAAGATTAGGTGACAGATTTACCCCAAATTCTCATTCATAATCCCTGGGCAGTTTGATGACAAGATGTCATAAACAGAAAGAAAGAAAAAGAAGAAAAAAGAAAGAAAACCATGATTACATCCAACAAGATATTTTTGGATGTTCAGCATTGGAGATCCGTACCTTGAGCTCCTCCATGTTTCTGAGCAAATCTCCTAGGAATCTGTAGTAGTCGTCAGAAAGGGTAAGCAACTCCATATATCGAGTCTGCAGTTGGGTAGCCTGGAACAGAGACAAATTTAAATTTAATTTTAAAAAAACATCAGAAAAATCAACTCTAACCTACAAGAAAAAACATGTCATGTACTAATGGTTTACTACATGTCTAATGTTTTTACTACAGTTGAATTACTTCATGATTGAGATCCACTGACGGCGACTTCAGCATTGTCCTCTTCACTGGGATGTTGAGCAAAGTTTCTAAACCAGAGGTGTAAGCTGCAAGGTCTGTTTCATAGTCCTGTTAAAAATAAAAATGAATAAATAAATAGAGGAAGTTGATCTTTTAATGAATCTGAGGCCAAATGCACTCGATTATTGACCTACTTACCTTGATAGCGTTCACACAGGCTTCATTGTCCTTCAGCACACTATCTACTGTCTCCCTCCTCACCTTGATTTCTGCATTCAGAGCCTAGAGAAACCCACAAAGTACAGATGTCAGGTATCAGATGCCTTCACAGAAAATTATTGGAAGTAGCTCTAATAATAGCAAAAGTTCAGCATATTACCTTCTGGTTGTTAATGAGGTTTTCCAGTGCTTGAACATTTTCTATCTTGGTGGCCTGTAGAGCCACCTGTTTTCTGCGAGTGGCTTCAATCCATTCAAGAATGGAAGTGCTGGTTTGCTTGTAGTGTTGCAGCTGAGGCAGATATGATCGAAGGTCCTGCATTCTGAGCAAGTGGAAGAGACGACCAGCATAATTGAGTTATGTCACTTTTACTCAAACGCTCTCATGCCCAAGTTTACAGATTAATATTGTTTTTTTTATTATATTATTTATTATAACATTTAAAATACTGAAGCAACAAATGTTTTGTGCTTTGCTCGATCATTTTCTGCCAATCACAAATTGACATGTGTGTATGTGAATAAGATGTTTGAAAAATAGATTCACATGTGTACAAGCAGCCTCATATACATATGGTTGAATATGAAATGAGTTATTTACTGCATGACTGCAAAGTCTTCAATTTGACATTAACAGCCAGTTATTATTAAAAACTGACAGAGCAGCATACCTCGTATCGAGCTGTAATTGGATTCGTCTCCAGCGGTCTGACAGCATGTTCACATCTTCTGTGTATTTTGTTAGCATCAGGTCACACCTGTGGGAGGATCCGCCCACCTGGCCGTTCCAGTGGCTCGCCTTGGACAACTCTGCCTCCATAGCATTTAGAATATCTTTCTTCTGATCCAGCTCTGCTTTGATGTTCTGCACATCGACACACGACACAACATCAATCATACGACTGCATCCACCGTATAATAAAAATCAGCCTGATAAGTGGAATTAAAGCATATGTCACAGCACAAAGGATATAAGAAAAATAGGGCAGTATTTACAAATGATTTGTCTACTATTATCAAAGAGTAGGAAAACACCATTATCTTGCAAAAATACCTTCAGAGTCGACATATATTCCTCCACTTCCTCAGGAGACAGAGAAGTGGTCTCCTTTTCTGTCATTCTTGCTTCATAAACTTTCACAATGTCCTCGGCTCGTGCCACACTCTCCAGCATGTCCCTTAGAGCTCGTAGCCTAAAACAAGCATATGGAATAATCAAATATGCAAATATGCAAAGGCATATGTGTATTTGTCATAATGTAGATTATCTGTATGTAAAAGTATCTTTTTTTGCAGATAATAATTGATCTTACAGTGCACAGTTATGAACTGTGCTTTTAAATTAATCAGAAGAACACACTAAGCTTTACGCCATCGTTTTGAGGTTTTGCCTTGTGTTACGTACCGCTGAACATAAGCTGTTGAGCTGCTCTCCAGGCTGCCCAGTCTTTGGTTAATCACTCCAATCTCGCTGCGGAGGAACTGAGCTTTGTCTGAATCATTCACGCTTTCCAGCTCGTTTAGAATGCGCTCCTTCAAAAGTAAGTACTCAGCACGCATCGAGTCCACATCACGCTGCACAGTCTGAAAGATGCACATATATGTGTCGCGATAAATACAGGGTCGTTTTTGTTTTCATTCTACATGCATTTCTGTTATTCTTATATTTTATGCTTTCACCTCTAACTGAGAGATCTTGAGGCTACAGTCCTGCACGCCGTTGTCTCCGAAGCAGACATGGATGTGCTGACTCAGCATGTCTTCAGCGGCCTCCAGCCTCAATCTGAGCGAGTGCAGCTCTAATAAGCTGTGAGATGATGATGATGTTGATGTGGATACCTTCCTCTTTCCTGCGTCCGTCTTGGTCACTTTTATCACTTCCTTCCTCACCACCTCTTTCTTTGCCTCCGCTTTCTTCTCGGCCTGTCTTCTGAGCTCTGCTCTCCGTCTTTCTTCTTCAAGCCTCCTGGCCTCCTCTTGGTGCATCCTGGCCTCTTCTTCAAGCCTCCAGGCCTCTTCTTGGCGCATCCTGGCCTCTTCTTCAAGCCTCCTTGCGTCTTCTGCAGCAGCAGCTTGTACTTGCTGCTGCTGTAATATAATCAGCTGGTGTTGTTGCCCAGATGTTTGCTGTAATTGTTCCTGCTGGACAACTGTGGACAAAACGATTTTTAAAAAATAGATAAAAGTCTTTTCAAAAGTTCACTAGATTCACTTACTCAATTCAATTATTCCATTATCAAGCACACAGACACAAATGCATACTGTACTTTACTGTAATATACTGAAATACGTACTAAAAATATTGAATTTGAGCAATGTTTATATACAAGTCTAAGAGACATCCGGCTAAAAAAACAAAAGCCAAGAAGTGCAAGAATAAACATATGGAGCAGAAAATGAGCACAAGAGGTCCATCTGACATATGAGACTGAATAGAAATGTACAGAATAAACAGAACGTGTACTTGCGAGGTGATCATTACTACAAACACTTACTGTAAGTAGGTATCTGCACCACTAGCTGTTCATAGTGGGTCTGGGCATCATTGACCTGGTTCTCTATGCTCCTCTTGTCCTCATCAGCAAACATCTGGGAATTTACACTGTTCACTATAAACTCATCATAGTGAGTCTCCATGCTCTTGATCATTTTCCGGTACTCCTCTGGGCGCATCTTGGCCAACTGAACAGACACAGAAACATTAAGTTTAATTTGGACCCAAACAGATCTTTTCACCGAGAAGGAGAGGTCAGAGGTCAAATGTGACATGCTATTTTAAATCTTTGGTACCTTCTTTATGTTGACGATACTCACCACACTTGTAAGAAACATACTTTCTAAGTTCTAAGGCTATGTTTATAAATTAATTTTCCACCAATAAATCATCAAGTGTTATAAGAATAACAGTGCAGTAAAATGATTGTGTGTGTTTTTTTAACACAAAGTACAAACTGGAGCAGTGAAAAGTTGCAAAAGGGACTTTGGTTTGGAGCAGCGGGTTTCGAGAGATGCTTAAATGTCTGTCTGAATGCCACAGAGTTATGCAGCACTCCAAAGTGTGCAACTATGGGAGCTGTTTCCCAGCATCTGGAGGTGGCTCAGGATGAGAGACGTTTACACACTTTTTAAGCCCATATTAAATGGAAGACTACAGCTGTTGGCTTAGAACAAACTGTAAAAGCAAAAACCCACCTTTAAAACCAAATAATTAAACGTTAATTAACACCATGTCACAACTTTTATTATGACCATTTGTTTTCTCCTTTGATACCTTGCAAGAGAGCAAAAGTTTGACTTTGACGTATGACTAAATATTTTTTTACAGACAGCAGAGGCCGACTTCCAACACCTCGTCGGTCCTTACCATGGAGATGGTGAGGGAGTTGATGCGTTGGATATCCATGACGCAGTACTGCCAGGAGATGAGACTCTTGACGTTGATATAAAGCTGGCTCCAGATTGACAGGATTGCTTCGTAGTACTGCTCGTTTCTTTGCACGACACAGAGGTGAAATTTAAAGGTTTCAGGATTATCTTTCCAGCCAGAGCAAGAGTTATACAATCACCTTTAACAGTAAATGTCCAAATCAAAGCATTTTTTGTTTCTTACTTGTTGGCGAGACTGATGCTGATTGGATTAGGTGGCGGTACAATCAGGCACACAGAGGGCACCAACATATCCAGACCCCCCGGGCCAGTCACCAGCCACTTACTGCGCTGGTTGTTGTCCTTTAGGATAGCCTCATTGCCCTTAAGGATCACCTTCTGTGAGCCCAAAGGTCACATAAAACACATAAAACACATGAAACACAAGTTAGAATAAAAGAAAGAGAGAATGTCGGTGCAACGTAAAGTAAAAAATAAAAATACCAATATGTGTTTAACTTTGACATCTGAAAACTGACCTGGTCCTGCTTGAAGTCGCACAGAGCCTTGACAATGACGCCGCTGGTGTTCTTCTCTTCAGGGTTTCTGGGTTTCAGTCTCACGATCTCCTTGGACTTGCTGACCAGGTGTTTAACCTGCCTCCTATTTTCCACAATCTTCTCCTTTTCCCTCTGAAGACAAAAAAGGTTTCAGTCAACCTGCCACTGTTTAGCCATTAACAACTGCTTTACTTTTCAAATTCGCCAACATTTTTGTCTCTCTGTAAATAATGAAGTCGCACAGAATGGCCTGTCCTGTATGAAACATATGACCTGCAATCCAGAACTGGTTTGGTTTTTTTTGAGAGTTCTGTTTCCATTTTTGTAACTAATGCCATAACTACTAGGCATGCAGTCTGCCTTTACAGTACAAATAATGTTTATTTTAAAAGAATGGGCTGAATTTGAGCATGTCTGTAACAGGATGCCAACAACCAAAATAGTACTTTCTATTGTTTGGCAAAAGTTTGAGGGCTAAGATGCGTGTTTCTTCTGGACTGTAAAAACTGGGGGTCTGGTCCAGAATGAGTAAAAGAAACATTTGGTCATTCGAAGGTATTATCCAATGGTATTGGAGTTGCTTCACTATTAGGTGGTACACTCAAAACTAATTTGTCCAAAATCCTGCCCATTTTTAAATTACGTGTAAATGTTCTATGTGATTTTATAACATAAGTACAATAAGTAAAACGTTAAATTCAAAGAAAACTTTTTTTACATTCAGTTTATTCCGAGCAACCTCTCCTGATGAATTATGGAGATGCTGGTAATGGTGTTGTGGTTCTTTTTTGGGGGTTTTGTTTTGGTTTGTTTGTTTTTCCATAACTCGTGTATCTGCAAATATACACATTCTGTATTTTTCATATGTAAGAAACTATACTGTGGTGGGGCTTGCTAATTTCTTGTTTTTGATTTATGTATGTTTTGTTTTGTTTTGCTTTACTTCATATGTTTCATATGTTGTTTGTTTAATTTAAGACAAAAAAAAATTAAATGAATGAGAGGTAAAACTTGAGGGGGTAGGGACAAATAAGTAAACACTTCAGCCTACTCCTTTTCAAACAAATAATGGAATGATATTTTGTAATGATTGTGAATGTTTGAAATGTTTGAAATAAAAATGAACTGAACTGAATTATCTGGCTAAATAATCCACTGACTTTATATATTTCAGGCTTTGTGTTGTTGTTTACTGTAGTGCCTGAGACATGAAATTTTCAAAAGCTCATCCTACATCAAAGATCTATTGTATGTTCAGTCTAATCAGTTTTATCTCGCTATGCTAAACGTCTAAACACACGCGATCAAGCTCCTGATGCCCAGCTGATGAGTTACTGCTGTAATGACGCTGTCGTACCTCCAGGTTTCTGAGGAGCTCCTGCAGGGTCTCCAGAGAAGTGTTCTTGTCGCAGATGAAATTCTTACGAACCGTCTCGTGTTCCTTCTGCAGAGCACTGTACGTCTCGTTGGCCTCCTTGAAAAACTAAATGCACACGTGTGTAAGCATATGTGATGTGAGTTTCAGGAGAAAACACGCACAATTTGTGAAATACTGAGTGAAATCTAGCATGAAGTTAATTGTAGTTTCCCAGTCTCATTATGATAAGTAAACAAGCAATTTTTATGTGTACATAACAACTGAAAAGCTGAAAGCAAATCAAAATGCTAATGTAGCAACAACAAATCAGAGGTGTCATGGTGCATCTTTTACATGCACTCTTATTCACAGTGTCCGTCAGTGTGACTGACTCCTGCAGGTTCATGTTTATTAGAGTAGCTTTAAGTTACCTGGCTGTATGCTAAATTCTCCTTCAGGTGAGTGTCGATGCATTTTGTTATTTGAAGGAGCCAGCTCCACTGAGTCTGCAGGGTGTCACTATAAGCCTGAAGAGAATGCACAAGCACACAAACACTGGAAAAAAAGCCAAGCTTTTACTTGCAGGTTTATAACTAGTTGTTTTTGGACTGAGATTTCTACTTCTGATCGCTCCAGACCTCGATCTTGTCCGATGCAGGGTGGTCATTCTTCAGGAGGTTGTCCACTTTGGCCTTCAGCCTATTCAGATCCTTTTCTTTTACTTCCAGGGCACTCATCAGTTTCTGTTATATAAGAAGAGGTGAATAATCACAGGGACACAGGAAAAACATCAGGATGCAGCAAGAGGGAAGTTCTGTGGCTTCGCTGTAAGTGGATGACTAATCGCAGCAGCCAAAATCCAATCTACCACAGATGATTGCTCCCTTATGAGATGCAGATTACTACATAAAAGACATCAGCGCCATTTAGGCTCAAGGAATTGCCAAGAATGTTTATTGCCTAAAATGAAGCTCGTAAAATTGGAAATTAAAAAGTGGATTTTTTGCAGCATCTACTGAATCCAGCTCTATTCTTGTTCCCTTGTGATCTGATGTTTGACTAACCGAGTAGCTCTCCTGCTTTCTGGGGATATACTGGTCGATGTTCTTGTCTCCCCAGTCAAACATCAGTTCCTCTTCCTCCTTCTCATTCACCCACATGATCTCTTTGGATATTTCCTGAATGATCTGCTGGAACTCTCGCAGCTGCTGCATCCGATCATGGGACGTTTTCTAGCAGGGTTAAACAGGGTTAAAGTGAATCAATTTAATACAAATCTCTAGCGATTAACAGGAAAATACACGACACAGAGATAATATTTAGTTTCTTCACCTGGAGATTGTCCCATTCCTGATCCAGAGCCTTAAGATTGGCTTTGTCTCCTGTCTTCATCTGGGGGAAGAGAATGAGTCAAATTATGTGTTTCAAAATAAAGTGATGTGTCAATATTTGCAAATGCTAATAATTAAAACAGATACCAATAATAACAAATCGCTATCTGACCAATAGCGGATCATTTTTATTTGTTTAGGTTATTTATCTCTTTACCCTGTGATCTTCTTTAACACTGGTTTAGTTTTGTGACTTTATATATCCCAAACAATAGATCAACGGAGCTTCTGTTTGAAGCAACAGTGAATCTCAGCATCGTCTCATCATCACAGCATTGATACTGAACCTGCTGACTGAACCCACCAGGTCATCTCTGGCTCGATCGAACTCGACGCTCCTCTGGATAGAGCTGTGAAACCTCTGGTGGCTCATGAGCTGCTGCTCGATGGCTGCAGAATCATCTCCCCATGAAGCTGTTTCAATCAGACGCTGCACGGAGTAGATCGAGTTTTAGAGAAGACTTCAGACACAGGCACTTCATGTCACCAGCAGGTGGCGGCAGAGATACAAGTTAAACCAGCAATTTGCTGGTAAATTCATGCACCACTTGGGGTCAAAGATCAGCAATCCACTCAGAAAGAAATGATTTAGCACTGAGTGTAAAACAATAGCTCCTTTTAGCTTCTATTTGTACTTAACCACAATGACCACATGATCCCTTAATACTGTGTCTACACCAACATAGCAGAGCATTCTTCTCTATGCTCTGTGTTAAATGCTGTGAATGTTGTGTTATCATAGCGATCATGGTTCAGCGAGATCTGTCATTTGGTTTACCGACACCTTTTATCACACTGTCATAAAGTGACACGGCACTTAACCATCTAGTTAGTGGGTATTAATGTCACTTTTGTTGTTGAAGAAGTAGGTCTTTCTTTCACTTTAGGTTTATTTCACAAAGATTTCTTTTGTGTAAAGTGTCTGTTTCTCCAGTTAAACATAAAAAATACTTTTTCTTGAACTGTTTAACAATTTTAATTATTTTAATGTAGTTGTTCACATTTTTAGTGTGTTTAAAGAACTATAATATATTAAATATACTGCGGAGCATTTTAACTTCTGTTGTGTTTAAATGTGCTATGATATGAAATGAGCTGATTATCTGTTGTGTGTAACAAACGTCTCTGACTTACTAATGTGACAAATTACATCAACTTCTCTTAATCTGAAAAAATGAAGGCTGGTGTTAACCGAAATCAGGTGATCAAAATGCAACACTTTTAGGGTATTTAAGACTGAAATAAATGCGCAAAAAACCTGTAAAAAAATGTAAAAGAAAAAAAAAGAAAAAAACAAGCCTCCAACAAATCTTTTAAAATGTAAATGTTGCCTAAATTTCACCAAATATTGATTTTTAGTAGATTTCTTAGCTTTTAAGTATATTCTTCTCGACCCCCCCAAGTTCAGGTGCTTGACCACCATCTACTGCAGGTAACGCACAGTTTAATGCACACTGTAGTAATGCCCCTCAAGCTTTACCAAGACACCTTAACACAGAATTCCTTAAAGGGCTCATGAATGTCAGAAGACTGATCTTCAAAAGCAGCTGCAGGTGCACGTTAGGTATTAAATTGGGTGTGTCTATACACGCCTTTTGCTGTGCAATCCAGCCCATAGCATCATGATAGCTCCTTCCAGGTTCCTCCCAGCCAATGGAGCCCCCCTTGGTGCTCTTCCTTCTCTGCGTGGTGCCTGAGATGGCCTTGTGGACCCCCTTCAGCTGGCTATTGTACATCTCCACACTATGGATTAGAAAACAGAAAAAGATGAGACTTGGAATGAACAGCATATGCTATACAAAGAATATATTTTTATAAAAATTCATGAAATCTCTGTTTGTCCATCCATCTGTCCGGTCAACAAATATTCATCCCATCTGCTTTAAAAATGGGAGATTAATTACTGACTGCCTGAGGAAATTTGGACTAAGTTTAAAGCTTGAGATACATTCACTATCCTTTTGAACAGCAACTGAATTACTTAATTACCTGCATGTGACGCATTTAAGAGACAGTTACATTTCAGTGTCAAAATCATGGGTAACACTGACCTCGGATGGGCACTGTTCTAGTAAAAGAAAACTCAGATGATTAAGACAGAGAGAGAAATCTGGCCTTCCTTACCTTCTCATTACGTTCTCATTAGGCTGTCCCATCTGCCTCAGGTCGGCCCCGCAGCTCTTCAGATTTTGAATGGCCTCTTTGGCCATCCCCATGAAGTACTCGACCTCACTCGGGTTTCCACCCTACAATACACAGACACAAGGAGGTGTACAAATCCAGAAAACTGAATGGGCACATTTGGAGTATAGATGTCTTTTGTCCTTGTTGTGCTTTAGATTGAATTATTTCCATTTAGAAGTGCCAAAAAATGTCAAAACTTCAGAAAAACAACTTTTACAACCCACGGAAGAAGATGATTTATGACAAGGACAAAGCGGTTGTGATAGTCTGCCGATATAAGTAGTCAACAAGACAATAAATCACACGCCCACAAATTTTAAGCTGAGTTTTGCACTTGCGATGAACTTCACAGTAACATAAATAATTCATGATAGGTTGTTTAACAGCTAAACTAAGAAAGGGTGTAAATTTAAAGTGGACTGACAGTTGCAATACTGCTCAAGGGGCCAGTTCTAAAAATCACATCCAACAGGGAGTTAAACAAAAATGAAACATTATCTATTTGGTGTCTCTCACAGATTCTGACCGTACACCAAAAGCCTACACATCCAGCTACTCCAATTACAGCCGCACAACATTTCTGTCATTCTTTCTGTTTCTTTTTGCCTCAGAGGACAGGCTACAACACTACACTCTTCATGTGAAATAAAAAAACTCCTGACTGGGCTAACTGACTTTTATCTGCACTTCTAGCAGTAAAAGCGCAATAAGTAACACAAATAAGAAAAGAAAACACAACTCACAGCTTGAATGTAGTACTCGGCTTTCTGCAGGTACTCGTTGCACTGGCTCTGCAGGATAGCGGCCTTCTGGTTGATAGAAGTAAGTGTAGAGCCACTGTGGAGGGCAGCGAAGTAAACTCATTAACATTAAGATCTTCAGCTTTAACTATTACCAAAATATTCCCAGTTACCGCAGCGGTTCGCAGTTTTTTTCACCGTGTGTTCCCCTAAAACAAAGCAGTGTCTCCTTTTGCCCTTTTTGTCAAAATATCATCAAAGAGTGAATTTCCCTTCTCAGATTGTTTCATTTGAATGTAGCTGTTTTTAGGAAAAGATAAAACTGTACATTAGTTATTTAAATAAATGTTAAAGTTTTTCATGGATAAGTCCTAACCCCAGTCTAAGTTGGGGCAAAGACTCCCGCCTCTCTTTCCACCTGTTTTAATTCGGAAAACGACAAGACGAGGAATTCTGTTAACCTTTAACTTCATTTCTGTTGCAAGTTTGCAAACATGCATTTCATTTACAAGCAATCTGGGAATTTTGATTGTATCATCATGCAGTTGTGGAACCTTGTATATGTATATCATCATAATCCACAAACAGAAAAGATATGGTCATGGTTATGGCTAGATTTTTCAAATACATTAGCTAAAAAAATACACTGCAACTGATTACATCAGTACGGGCTCAACAGCTGGTATAGTCAACATTCATACACAATGTGCCAAAGAAACTCTTTTCACTGCTATTATAAACATTACAATTTTCTTTTAATATTGTTTTTAGGTTTAATTTGATAGGAAAGCACTGAAGGCACGCAGGAAAGTGAGGGGAAAAGTCTGGAGCAGACTTGAACACAGATCTTTAGTGGGGCTTTTGGTATATGGGCTCAAACACACGAGCTGTGGCAGCAGCCACAAATCTAAAAATTTAGAAAAATAAGTGTTGTTATAATAGAGATCTCTCTGTTTCCTAGAAACAAGAGCCGGAACAAGGAGATATAGAGACAGCAAAAAGCTATCACCCCAGATAACCAGCTATTACTGCTGCTTATCGTACGTGTTTTCAATTCTGAGGTACTAAACTATTTATGCTGGCTGTATATGAGCAAAATGTTTTGTACAGTCTGAGCTGAAACTCAGATAAGCATCCAAATTTCTACAAAAGACACTTTTCCTGAAACCTGCTCTGGTTTTCACAGACACACATACAAACTAAAATGTTGACCTCATTCTAAAATATGCATAAAGACCCACTCTATGTATCTCTATTATCAATTTTATTGACCAGTTTTGATATACTTGTGTTATCACATATATCATAACTATTGCCCTAAAAATCTAAGCTGACATTGGCTTATTTAACTAGCTATGAATCAGGGCACTGTTTCCAAATAACACCTGTAATATCTCTGTCATCTCTACACTTGTATTTCTTGTTTTACTTACCATCCAGAAAAAAGTGCTACCAGCTATAATAAACAATGTAATAAATGTACTTATATTTGCCATAAGCTGCCCCAGGCACTTTTCCCTTAATCACAGGGCTTACATGAGTACCTTATCTCAAACATCACTCCCTTATATAAAACTATCAAAGCCATAAACGAAGTTGCTCTGACTCACAACTTATGTTTGCGAATTAAATAAATCTGCCCGTTCCTCAAAGTGCGGGGTCAGAAACACAATCCTTGCGCTGCTGATAGAGTTGCATGTGTTAAAGCGACACGCGTGTCCGTGGGTCTGTGAAGCAGCAGAGGGAGGCGGCAATTTAACGCGGACTGTAAATCTCGTTTCTCCCCGGGGAGGTTTGCTCCTGTGCAGAGCAGAAGCTGAGGAACAATTGAAAAGACGTGCCAAAGACAACAGCTGTATGTCAGCATCACGACGTGTATCACTGCGCATTATCAGTGCGTATGATCAGTTATGTCACTGACGTGACTCTGCAAACCAATCTGAATTAAACATCACTTTATTTTGTTTTATACACAATTACCACCAGCTTTGCTTCAGTGTTACAAAACAAGTGGAAATGCTGTTACTTTGCAGAACAAGAACATTTCCCTGTAATTAAACTCTTGCGGGCTGATGTGCATTGAATTGCTTTGTTCGCTTTTTTAAAGGCCAGTGAGTATCGGGTGTTTTTAGTGTTTGCAGGGCCCAAAAAAACAACACAGGCTGTCACGGTTAATAGTTAATAATCTATCGTGCGCTGCAGTTCACACATTGGCCACAGGTGCAAAAAGAAACGCAAAACTTGTGGAAGATAGAGTTTAAATTCATACCCCATTCCGCTGATCGCCCCCCCGCCGGCGCCGCTCATCGCCCCCCCTCCCATGCTGGCCCCACGCCACGTCATTCCTCTCGTGGTTCCGGCTCTCATGCTGCTCGCCATTCCGCTCGCCATCCCACCTCCCTTCACGGACTTTGAATAGGTGAAGGTTTTGTGTCCGTCGTGTCCGTACTGGTCGTATCCGTTACCCCCTCCGTGGAAGCCGTCGCTCCGTGCGTACTGGTAGGTGGATTCTCCAGTCAACTCTCCCCTGGAGTTGGCCCTGCGGAGCATGTTCAGGGCCTGCTGAGACCCGTAAGCTGACATGGTGACCAGAGAACTGCAGCCTCGGCGGCTCCACAGAAGTTACTGGACGAAACTAAGTGGACGGAAACAACCTGACAGGTTGCCGCCCTCTCTCTCTCTCTCTCCACTCTGTCCGCCCTGGTCCCTCCGGTGCAGACTGCAAACCGAGAGCAGGACGGGACCGTTTTTGGAGCCTTGTGACCACACCTCTCTGTCTGTCAGCCAAAAACTTTTTTCTTTCTCTATCTCTCTTTCTGCCACTCCCCTGTCTACTCAGCTGGAGACAGTGTGTGTGTGTGTGTGTGTGTGTGTGTGTGTGTGTGTGTGTGTGTGTGAAAAATTATGACATTTTTACATGATGAGGCTTCAATAAAGACAGCTCGTTTTTGGAAAGCATGGGTATGTTATGGAAATCAGAGTCTGAGAGGAGCATTTGGCAAACAGAGACAGTTTTAAAAGCACAGTTTGAGAAAGCGGATCAGATAGCATTTGAACAGAAGGCGATCAGCATTTGGAAAGTGATGCAGTTCTTTCTTTTTTAAAATAACAATGTTTCTGAAAAGTCAGGTTATGTGTGTGCTTTAGTAAAGTGGGGTTATTTTTAAAGTGACTGATTATGAGAGCGAGTTAGAGATCATCCCAAATTGGAAGCTTGAAACTTACAACTTGTTAGTTAGTGTCAAGTTGATGGATTACTCATGGTGGCAGTTCTAGTTAAGGAATGAAGTCGATTGCATCCTCACAATTATAAAGCAGAAGAAGGAAATGCTTGTATTTGCCAGGATAGCTCAAATGTACACACTGATTATTTGAAAAAAAAAGTATTGTATATACAATATGCTCAACATACATGATTCAGTAAAATGACTAGATTACATACTAATGCGATCAGTGCTTAGATTTTTATTTTTTTAAGTATGGTTTTCCCTTGACAGATGTGCCTAGGATATAAAAACAACTGCTTTTAGTTGCATTCCTAGTTTAACAACATCTGTAGTATTAAGCAGAAACTAGTAAAGTAATGGCTATAATAATCAAAGGCCTTAAAGGCAAACTGCTTAAAGTACAGATAATACATCCAGTACACCAGGTGATGCATCTTTTGAAATTTAAATTAAAACAGCTGCTGAGGTATCGCTCACTCCTCTTCTCCACAGGTGTCTTTAAGTCTTTCCATGCCCCTCCCATCTGCTTTCAGTCTGCGTCCTCAACTGAGAAGAAACTCTCTCTTTCTCACACACACTTTAACATTGCTCACACAACTGCCTGCAGGCAATGGGTGGGACTCACTGAAAAAACAGGTTTAGCAGCCACTCAGTAACGACAGTAAAACTAAATTTTATTATCAGTGTTTGGGATGTCCATAATCACAGTCAGACCACCTTCCAATTAATGTACTTCTTTTCCCAACAAGTCACTTATTTGCTGTTATTGGTAATATACTAATTTTTTTTTTTCAAGCGATACCCACATTTCCCAATTTTAAAGATGCATTCACAGTGAATTACAGGTCACTTTGAGTCCCAGTCTATCTGCACAATCGCCAGTGCTCCACAAAGCTGCTTACTTTGGTTTTGTAAGTTTCTTTTCTTTCAAAATGACTCACCAGCTCAGCTTAAGCCTTTTGAACTCTTTGCTGTGGAGTTTCAGCAGAGATACAAATTGCTCTCATTGCTCACGTTTTTTTTTCTTCTTCACTAATGTACAGTCTTTGTTCAAAAGTAGGCGGTGTGACCTGCCTTGGCTTTAAATGTGTTAGCAAAGTGGAAAATTGTGAATAACTGCAAAGAAATTTCTTAAATCATAGACTTTAATTTATAAACTAATCAAGAGTGTTAAAGCATTCCTCTCCCTTTTTTTTATAGAATAAACACTATAATATGTTTTTGTAGCTCTGCAGATGCCTATTTTGTTTTTTGAGACTTTTTGCATATATTTCTTAGTTTATATACTTATCTAATTTTTACATAGAATTTGTGTAAAGTTACTGTGTGTTTTAATGCAATCAAGTGTAGCACGCCTGATTTAATTGTTTTCTGTGTAATCTAATAGCAGCAAAGGCTTTCTATTCTATTGTCTATTCATCTGGCTAAACTGCTTTACTTTAAATTCATTATTTTGGAAATTGTATTTAATAATTTTGTACCTGACACATGAAGCAGGCTTAACAACTGTCCTGGGTCACCACAGGTGTTGTGTTACCTTGAAACATTTAAAATTTCTGTTTAAAGATGTTTTACATACTGAATGCTCTTGTTTTTCTTAATGCCTTTGCATTGCTTTTGTGCTAATGTAACGACACAGTGTCACTTTATAGACTTCATATATATGTGTGTGTTTCTGTAATCTAGTCACAAGACACTAAAATAAAAGTGCTCTTTCCTCAGATTCAGTTTCCCCTGATTAAATTAAGGTTGTCCAGATCACAGTCGTTTAAAGGGAGGCCTAGCCAGCAGCACAAATCTTATGCATTAAGGAAAATTTAGTATGAGAAAGAAATGATGACCAAAAAACTCTCTTCAAAACCAGAAATACCAACAATGAAGAGAGAGCCACTTAGTGGGTTTGCGGTTTTTGAGCCACAACAATCATGTTTCAGAAATATGTCTTTGTGCATAAGGAGCTCACTCATAGGAAAGAACATCCTAATGACTTTGACCTAAGGCTGTCTGCAAGCATAAATACTGGTGATATGGACCGGCACCCTACAGCCTGAGGAGAGTCTCCCTACACTAACTTATAAACTCAGCAACCTTTGCGGAATGTAGCATGTATGTGTTTGGAAATGAGTGGGATTGTGAGTTATGTACGAGCAAACAGGAGGGAAAGTGCAAGCGATTGCGAACAGTAGTGTTTGTTTGCTGGTATGATTTATTACAAAGACTTGTTTTCCATTAGCTCAAGTCTAATTGCAGACTTGGTGCTGATGATAGCATGGAAAAGAATTTTTGGGAACCAATGACACACCAGGATGGTCTTACAACTCCCAGGGCTTATGTGTGCTTGCCTTTCTGTGAGTAACTGAAAGGTAATAAACTGGTCTAACATTTTCTCCGGGAAAAAAAAGAAAGAAGTCCCACCTTAACTTCATGTTATTCCCTTTGGCAAATGGCATTCAAGAGCACGCCTTTGCCTGCACATAAACACAGATTTGCCAAAACGACATTCCTGCACTATCCTTCCCCTATCTTTAAAGCTAACCCTTTTCAGCCCTGAAAGCTCATTTGTCACTTATTTAGTGTGAATTAACTTTATTTGTGCAGGTCTAATTCACAAGAACAGTAATCTATCAATAATATAATCTAAAACTAGATTTTCTTTAATAATGGATTGGATTTATATAGCACTTTTCAAGGCACCCAAAGCGCTTTACAACGCCACTATTCATTCACTCTCACATTCACACACTGGTGGAGGCAAGCTACGGTTGTAGCCACAGCTGCCCTGGGGCAGACTGACAGAAGCGAGGCTGCCATATCGCGCCATCGGCCCCTCTGGCCCACACCAGTAGGCGGCAGGGTAAAGTGTCTTGCCCAAGGACACAACGACCAGGGCAGAGAGCCCGGGGATGGAACCGGTGACCTTCCGGTTACAGATACGCTTCCCAACCCCCTGAGCCACAGTCGCCCAACAATAGCGACAATATTAAAAAAAGGAACACCATCTACAGAACCAGGCTCAGGAAACACTGTCATCAGCCTCACCTCTGTGGTTGAGGATAAAGGAAAAGAGAGAAAAGAAGTCCTGACTGATAATGATAAATCATAGAACCCCAGGTGTGCGTGACCATGGTAATTTTCTTAAAAAAGAAAGGCATGTAAGATTCTGTAAGTCAGCCACTAAATTCTCCACATTTGTTTTGTGTGAGCGTTTGATCCTTTTTTGTCCTCTGGGTGAATCAGTGAAATCATTTTAGGGCATGTTTCTGAGGCGTGGTGAGAATTTCCACCCTCTCCTATCTCCTTTCATTCCATATTTCTGGAGACAGGACAAGGCTTGCATATAAAGTTTCTACGGTAGCCAAAATATGTAGAAGCATGTTAAAAAAGGTGTAATCCTAGAAAATGAGTCAGTACAGCTCAAACATTAAAAAAAGAATAAAGATGCTTAGATCTGAATAAGTTCAAAGAGCAGACACTTCGTTTTCAGTAATTAGTCTGACCTGAGAAACTTATTCATGTTGTCATTTTTAAAACCATAACAACTCCACTGATCTTTATTCTCCTGGTGGGACCTCATCTAGTTCAGAACATTCAAGCTGAAAAGAATCCCGACTCTCACTTCATAAGCTTCATATTTCAACCTTCCAATTTCTCAGAGTTTCCTATCTGTCCCTTTCACTGTCAGTGTTGCTCCTTCCCTGCATTGCTGCTCTTTTAACCTCTCCACAACCCAACATTCACCTTTAGGTCCTGGGGCAATGCAACATGTATTTTCCACAGTATGATGAGCCTAAACATCAGCTGTATTTTGCTGCTGAATTCCATTATTTAAAATGTTGGTTGTTTGTTTTTTAACTGAAACATTGAAATATTTGAGATATTTACGGCATGGTTAATTTTACAGAAAACAGTCTCTCGTAAACATCAAGGGCCACAAATGCCAAAGTTAGAAATTTGAAAGTGAGTAAGGGGGCCCATCTAACAGGAAAGGAGACAGATGCTCTTCTATGTTTCCATTCATCCTTATGTAAGTGATGAGTCTGCTTTGAGTTTAAGGGTTGGGCACACGTGTGCCCAACCCTTAAACTCAAAGCAGCTGCCTATTGCATAAAATTATCAAATAAAATAAGGGCTGGGCAGCCCAACCCTTATTATTTTTTTAATATAATTTTATAGAATTTAATTTCAGTGGAAATTGGTGGATTTGTTTGTGGAAGACAGGTAAAGCCTCACATTTTCTGTGTGCATGCTGAGCTATTAAATATGCATTTGCAGTGCACCAACAGCAAACTTGTTTTCTTTTGGAAGCAGGTCGTCTACCAGTGTTGATGATTCTAATACATAAATACTTTCTGCGCCTTGAGTGAATTAACTAACAGAGTTTATCCACTTTTAGTAACAATCAGTTAAAAGAAATTCTGACAAGTCCTGAGACCAAATCTCCAGAGCTTGTATTGCTACTGTGCTGCTGGCTCACCAACTCAGTTTAGTTGACACTGTGGTCTGTGAGGTACA